AATAAGATAAGAAATAGCTATTAAATAACGAAGGCCTTCTATATCGAGTTTTATATTCTATTAAGAATTATTATATTTCTTATTATTATTTAATTATTTATTAACTAGATAATACGTCTAGCTAATTATTATATTTAAATTAAATTTATTAAGATTTATCTTATAGACGTTCGTTTAGCTTATATAAATATAAAATTCGAGAATCTTAAGATCTTTTATTATCTACTATTATAGCGAGTAATTATTAATATTCGTAGATTATATAACGAGATCGATATTAAAGAATATTATTTAATTACGCGAGATTTACTATTTTATATTCTTATTTAATTTAATAAAACTTCTCTAAAGAAAGCTATCTTATATACTTTCTTTTATTTTATATTTATTATATTTCTTTATATAGATAAATTTATATAATTTTAAACTAAATTTAAAAATAGCGATTTCGAATAATAATATATTATAAGATATTTAATTACGCTATATAGCTATTATATAAAGTTATCGCTATTATTCTCGAAGATAGATCTATTTAAAAGAAGAATTACGCTATTTATTATCGCTATAAATAATAATATCTACTTTATTTATTCGCTATAAAACTTATTTACTCGCTTCTCTATTAATAAGTTATTATCGCTATTTAATTTAGATAAAGTCTTTATAAGATAATATATTATCGCTACGCTATATAGTACTCTATATATACTCGATTATCTAGATTACTACTTAGAATACTCTTTTTATAAAGAGATTACTATCTTCGCGAGAAACGTCGATTTAATTAATAATAAGATTTAACTATTTAATTATTAAAAGTCTAACTTATATTACTTATATATCGAGATATACTCGATCTATATTCTTATTATATTATATTATCTATAGTATTCTTATATAGCTTAAAGCTAATAAATTTCTATTAAATATAAATTATTTATTTTAGAAGTTTTTTTAAAGCTAAATTATATAATAAATTGCTATCTATATATTATTATTTTTTAGAATCTAATTAATTATTATTTAAAACTTATTTATATATATAGTTTTTATAAAATATTATATAAGATAATATTAGTTATTATAGCTTAATTAAAGATTAGTAAGAAAGAAATATAATATATATTTATAATAGAATAACTAAGATTATTATATTAAAAGAGCCTTAAATAGACGATATTTCTATCTATTTTTTACTTCTTATTCTTATTCCTCTTATTATAAAAAAAGGTTTTTATACTTTTTCTACTTACCCGCGTCTTATTTTTTTAATATTCTCTTATACTTAAACTTTAAATCTTCTATTTTATATAGAGGAAGTTTTTCTAGAGCTAAGCTATATAATAGATTACTATCTATATACTACTAGGCCTTAGAACCTAGCCAATCATCATTTAGAACTTATTTATGCGTGTAGTTTTCGTGGGACGTTTAGCGAGACAATACTAGATGGCTAGAGGGGCGCCCCTCCGACGTAGGAATTACACACACACACACACTGGGAAGCCCGCGCCCCAGCACATATTTAGAAGAAGAAGCATGGCTATAAAGCTTACTACAAGTACTTAAATAGTAGTTATCTAGCCCTACCACAAGGCTGGGAGCATATTCCAATAAGTTGAGGTCGGCAATAGGATTTGATAAAAACTGGTGCAAGCACCACAGACAGCTTGGCTGTTGATTGCTTGACTGATACTGACTGCGTTGTCTTGGTTAAAGAGGAGAGCGAGCGCAATAATGAGAATACAAAGAGCAAGCGACGACCCTGAGTTGGGTTGCCTTGAAATGTGGTCACATTCCTCCACAGAGAAGGATGAACTTGGTCAAAAACTGATGCATAGCGCAAGGTGTTAACGAGATGCAATCCCGAGTTCAAAGATGGTCTTGCTCTACGTTTAAAAAAACAAGGAAGAGATTCTTGTGGTGTCTCATTTCTCAATGTCAACACAGATTGGTAATTTGCTACTCATTCGCTAGTACGGCATGATAGCATCCCGGAATTGATTTCCCAGGCAACATCGTTTTGGGCGCTGGCTAATGCATAATATTCTACAGGGTACCTGGACAGCTTTCCTCGCACTTTCCTACCGATAATGGCTCCTCTCTCGTTCGCCCGTCTACGCACCGATTTTCGACAACCGGAGCTTAGCAGTAAACTCAAAGCATCCAACATCTGATCGCAGAATCGTTCCTTTTCGCACTCCTGCCTGACACACTAATGGTGGACTCCGCCGGCAATCTCTCGTCCCTTGCGTGGATGGAACTCAAGGTACTGAGCGTTGGGGAATGGGTTTATAGAAGGTTGTGCACTGTGGCGCGGAAACGTTTGGTAGCAAGCACTGGGACAGGTGTCTGGTTTCCACTCAGGAGACCCAAGAGCTGACGACAGCGAGGCTGCGACAGCTTTAAGTTTCTGCGTGTGACGAGGCTCCATCACTGTTCTATTCCGTCTATCCATGGGGTGAAGGGTGTGGGAGAAGTGGATCCTCAATGTGAGAAGCTTGAAAGTGCTGAGGAATTCAATGATGAATAAGGGAGCGATTGACGTGTCGGGGGCGTATAAGCATGGTTTTCGACAGACCAGAATAATGTGGCAGTCACCGGAAGCGTGGACAGAATGTACGAAGCCACGACTGACTAGGGGAGCCGAGGTGGGGGAGGGGAAGATGAGGAGATTGAAGTTCTGTACTTTGTTGTTCGAAGGTATCCTTATTTGGCGTAGAGATTTGGGTTGGTGTTTGGGGCTGTCAAGCTCGAAACATAGTCGACAGATCCCTTGTTTGTAGAGAAGGCCATTCGCCTCGTCGTGCAACTGCCGAGAAACCCGGAGTATCTCGATCTGGCCAGACGTGATAAGATAGCCGTAAATGATGTTACGTAACTCCCCGGCAAGAGTAAGGAAGCCGCACGACTTGGGCAGCTCGCCAACACTGCTGAGGACGGCTCTACTTCCGGAGGTCACAGCATGCGTAGACGACGTGGATAGAGTGGAAGAGCTCGTGTCGTATTGAGATTGTAGCCCGCTGATCAAGCTTGTGACAGAAGTCTCTGTCGTCGTGAATTCTTGTGGGTTTGTAGAGGCCAAGGGTTGGAAAGAGCTGCTGTAAGCCATGTTGATGATGGATCCGAGGCCAGAGTAGAGCACGTCCCGCTGATGAAGACTGAAACGTTCCTGACGGTGCCGATCACCTTGAGGTCTGTGGGTGACGAGATCTGGTTGGAGTGTTGTGGCAGGGTCGTCTCACGAGGGCGCAATGCCTTGTGTTGATGCACGGAGTGAGGATGTAGTCAAGTCAGAAAGCTTTTCAAGAGTGAAAGGGTGTGCAGTACTCGTGCCGTCCAGAAATGAATTATCCGGCTAAAATTTTAGCGTCTTGGCGTGACGTTATCCCTCACTCGAGGACGACGGTGCTCGGTAGGGAAATTATTTGGGGTCCCTGATTGGTCAATTGAGTAGTAGAAAGGCCTAGGAAGTCACGTACACATATATATAGTTGTCATTGTTGTCATTTCGTTGATGTTTTGATATTTGATAGGAGAGTGTGCCGCTCTATCAGCTTCTTTCTCTACAAAATAAGGTGTATTTCAGTACGATTTCCGGGAGATCTGGGTAGATTGATTGGTGGGTTCTCCCGGCGCTATTAAGCGAGATAATTCACTTGTGGATGGCACGAGTAATGGATGAAAACGGTGACACGTTTCTTGCGAACAGAGAAGTAGGAGACTCGCGGCACATCTTCGGGACGGCAACATGCAGAGCAAAGTACTTTATATCCCGAATATGAATCCTTACCGAATCATACCCTAATTACTGAATCATACCCCTACACCAAAATTTGGGGTATGATTCGGTAAGGATTAATTGATTCGGTAATTTACCAAACTTGCTGTGTAGACTATTGGGAGTGAAATAAAGTCACAGACTAAATATAGACAGGCTGGGGGTCAAATTTAGCCCACTGTTAGCAAGCCAGGGGGCCCTGCGACGTCCTAGGGGCCCTATTTAGGTTTAAATAGGGGTGTCTGGCTGTCAAGCGCAAAAAGCCTGGTCCGGGTGTCTATGCTTGACAGCCCCTATTTGAACTAAATAGCCCCCGTAGAGGGGGGGGCCCGCGTGGGGGGTGCTGTTAACACCCACTCGGCTTTCATCTGATATATTTAAGCTGATAGGTCACCCATTAAATACGGTCGGAGATATTTCCTTTTTTCTATGGTCGGATGGCCCAGGTCGCGAATTTTCTCCTTTGCGATTTTTATCATGAATGGTAATACGAATCATACCCCAAGTAATGGCAAATTACTGAATCATACCCCTAGGGGTATGATTCAGTAATTAGGGTATGATTCGGTAAGGATTCATAGTTTCGGGGTATGAATTAGTAATTAGCCCGATCAAAGTACTTTATATCCGTTTCGGGTCCTGGTCAGGGATGACTGAGGCGACAGTACGAAGATTAGATATTCGTCCATGAACCTCCTGAACATTCATAGTTCTCGTTGAGAAAGGCGGGTTCAGCGTAGCCATCAAGGTCATCCTGACCGTGAGGTGGAATTGAAAAAGGGACTCCTGACCAAACAGTAGACCGTGTCAGTATATCCATCGGCTAACCACCATCCAACGTTACCCATAGTAGATATGGAGATTGGCTTCTTTCACTCGTTGCGGTGGTTCAATAACCCTGGCTATCCTACTCTCGCCGAGCTGTGGTGAGGCATCCTTCATTCTCTCTGCGGTGCGCGCGTTATGAAGAGTCGATGCACTTGTAGCCGCGCCACGATTTTCTCATGATCTAACCTTTTATGGAAGGTGTATACTTTTAGTCTCTTGGCGGCGTCTATTGGATGAGGCTGTGAGGCTGTGCCTGCAAAGCGACGTCAATTCGTCCGTGCCTCGTCATACATAGAGCCTCGTCCAACATGCATCATTCTTCTTTATTTAAAAAGCTGCACTGTCGTGAAGCGCTCTTCGATCCGGCAGATGGAATGAGAATCCCACCATGGAGGCCGTCGCCGCCGCAGCCAGCATCGCAGGCATCATCACAGTGGTCGGGCAAAGCATCGACGGCCTAATCAAGTTTAGCGAATTTTTCTCCGATATATCATCAGCGTCCAAGACTATCAGTCGTCTTTTGAACGACATCAACTCGCTAATTCAAGTACTGGAAAACATCGGCGATGTGCTTGAACGGGCACAGGCGCGGCGAAGGGGTCAAAACTTCGCTTCTCTGGACATCAAGCTCGAGGATTGCGCCAAAGATGTGCAGATCTGGTTGGCGACCGCGAGGCTGCTGCGCCCTGGCTCCGACAGCGGAGGGAAGGCTTGGTTGAGGAAGTTCCGCTTGGCTGTGAATAATACTGCTATCCAGACGATAAGGGAGGAGATTGGGAGGCACAGGCAGACTCTATGTCTCAGTCTTGCTGTCTTTGGGAGGTGCGCAAGTTGCTCGCTCGCTCAGCTCCGCATATGCCTTTGGGTATTGACAGTAGATTCAGGACTATAGACATCGATACATCTAATCAGGTTCATCAGATTGGCGGCCGATTCGATGAAGCTCTTTCAACCTCGCTGTCTATTCATGGTGCTCATGTAGAAGCGCTCAGACGGATCGAGCATTATTCGATGACCAGTATGCATAGCTCTGCACATAGCATTAGAAGCATGGACAGTATCCGCACGGAGCTGACAAGGCTCGAAGCCATGATCACCAGCACCAGTGTTGCGAGCCTGTCAGAGATTGAGACTGGCAATAATCATACAAGGCGAGGCTCCAGTTATACTGAAAATCGACCTTCCGCCGTCGAAGAAGGAGGGAATCGTGGTCCAAATTTGTTAAATTCTGGTCCATCGCCCGAACTTAGTGGTGAGATCTCTATTGCCAGAGACTCAGCCACGGCACACGCTCCACGACGAACTTCCTCGACTGGAAGTCGAAAACATCTTTCTTCCAGTAGCCAATCAAAAGGGAAAAGGGAAACGTCTGTAGAGTACGGTATTCAACCTGATTACCACATACCTTCCGCGGAATATCGCTCGTTTTTGGATGAACCCGACGATACTAACAATCAGTATATGAAAAAGCCCTCGGAAGAGGGGAACAAAAGTAGCTTCTTATATGCAGAGTTTGCCAAAAGTTCTCAGACTCGCCAGCCTGAGAGCTCAGAGAATGAGGTTGATCACAGTGCCATTCACCGTATACTACGGCAGTCTTTAGCGAGCATATACCCTCCTGAGGTGGTGGAGTATGTATCACTCTGGCAAGTCACTACTCTTTGTGAAGATCACATACGTCTACTCGATAAAAGACCAAGCATTCAGATGTCGGCAACTGGAAAGGTCAAAGAAATACCTTACGTAGACGATGGTACTTCAGCTTCCGCACAACCATCTATGATCGGTTTAAGGGATCGGCTGATAGAGCTACGAAACGCTATCAGGCTCTCCAGGGAGCATTGTATCCAAGCTGGCCACTCGCTATCAGAGCTGGACAAGTTGCTTTCCCCACCGGGTAGCGGCAGCTTCGCGTCCGCCGACCAGCCACCACCGAAACTAGAGAATAATAGCGGAGACGACAGTTCCAGTATTTACTCCGAAGACTTTCACTCATCGGCCGAGTAACTCGATCTTGCGAGTAAACAGATCTTACTACCTTAGTACACGCAGCGACTCATCTGCAAGCATCCGAAAATATGAGTTTCCTAGCACCGCCTTCGAGCATGGTTCAGGCTCTGTTCCCTTCACATCAAGAGAGCCTAGAGATACTTAAATAATCACTTCAGCAGCTCCGGACGATTATGGGGGAATCCCGGGGCTTGGAGGGAAAATATTTGGCGCAGTAGGCCGTTTGGTCCCTCCTCGAAGCTCGATAATATTATGGGCTAGACTCTGATCTGGTAAGTCGAATCTTTCTTGCTTGACAGATGAACAAGCCAATCCTCAGTGCCATTCGATTAATCAAGGCAAACCTTCCTGACCCTGACTCAGCTTGCAAGAATCATCCGCACGCCAAAGCAACCGTCATGCTCACCCTCGTCGCGGATGGTACACCAGACTAAAGCGTCCCTCCTCGTCACATCCTTCCTCCCCTCCTCCCAAGGTCATCGCCAACCTCTCATCCAACGCATTGTACAATGGGGCCATACAATCCAAGTCCCCTCCCAGACTCATCCTCAAATGCCCTATCTTCACCTCCACGGTTCTGAACGCCGTCAAACGGCCCAACGCATCTTTGAAACGCCCTGCAGTCATAACAAGCCCCAACAAGAAACTCGCGTCCAAGACAAGCTCAATTACCACCACGCAACGTTTTCCTGGGAAAGCAGGGTCCAGCCTCGCTAAATAGCTGATTAGCATCGTTGCACTTCCGGCGAACTTGGCTTTGTCATAACCGAGCGAAAAAGCTGTGCCGACGTCGAGGTTAATGGTGATATCTTGCAGCAGCGTGATGGCTGGTATGTTTTTGATTTCTTCGTGCAGAGGAGGCGAGCCGGCGGTGAAAGCGTTGAGATGAAAATGACCGTGTCTGTAGAGCACTCTCTTCGCCTCTTCGTAAGTCGATCTCGAGACATTCAGAATCGCTAGGCGGGTATGCTGATGCAGGGGAAGATACGAAAGGATTTCTCCGTTGCGAGGGTTCTCGACTAAAAATGTCGTTGGTGTTAAAAGGTCTTTGTAGATCTGGTCGCGCAATTCTTGCGGTAGCAATAAGAGAGCTGATCTGGGCTTTGGTATTTGATCCGTTCCGGCGGGAGCCATTGTGGAGTTTGGAGGCGGTTACGGAAGATTGTGGATCTTGAGGGAATGAGACTTGCGGATGGAAGAAGACAGAAGTAGGCCGTTACTCTGAGTCAACACATATCTTCAACACAAGCGACCGAGATATTCAATCCTCTAGCAGATCAGCACCCGTGAGCCCACTTACACCACCGCCATCATCTTTGTCACCCAGCGTACCGGTCTCCCAATCACACCTCTGTCACTACACAGCTTCCATAATGACGAACCCACCAAACCCTCCACTTCGCCTTCTCGCCCTCCCTCCCAAACTCCGCAACCCCATCTAGAGCGACACTTTAACACCAACACACCTCGTCGAGCCACCTCAACCCTGACTCTACCTCAACGCCCGCGATCGCCGCAAATCTCCCACACAACAAGCCCTACCCTCCCATCCCGCCATCCTCCATGTCTCCAAACTCGCCCACGAAAAGGCCAACCAGATCCTCCCTAACCACAGCATCCCCATCTTCGACCTTTCCCCAACAGCTGACCGTGCGTCTACTCCACCCTCCGCCGCATTCCCTTCCTTCCCAACAAACACGCACGCGCCACCTTCGTCGCGCCGGCTTCGAAAACCATCAACACCTCGGCAAACCGCCCCGGCCCTCCAATCCATCCCGCCACCGTCCCGCGTTCTCCTGCTTCTCCACCACCCTTCCCCACCCCACCGCTGCAGGCCGACATCCGGCTCCAACATCTTTTCCTAACGAGCATGTGCGGGGGCAAGGTGTCAGCGTTCAAGACTGTGCTTTGAGGGTGGCGGTGGTGGAAAGACCGTTTGGTCGAGTTGGGGGGGACGAGGGATGGTCGTCGACGTCTGAGATGGTGGATGTGGATGCGTAGTCGGTGGTGAGGTTGGGTTGGGAGCTGGGGTCCGGAGGGAGTTTTGATAAGGGAAAGTGGGAGGGGGGCGTGCGTATCATCCGCGTCCGGGATGGTGGCTTCGGGGTGAAGATGCCGATTGTGCCGCTAATACGGATTGGTTGGTTGGTTAGATTCTCCAGCCTTTTTTTTCCCTTTTCGCTTCCATTCCCTCGCGAAAGTCCACCCGGCGGACCGGTGAGCATTTGGAGGTATGAAGTAAGTAAGTAAGTAAGTAAGTAAGTAAGTAAGTAAGTAAGAAGAAGAAGAGAAGAAGTAAGAAGAAGTAAAACGACCACCCTTCCTCCAACAGGAGTAACATCCACATAACGATGAACCAAATGTCAAGAGGCTAGAACACAGATTGTCGGCGAAAGGTCCATAGATATCTCCAGACAGAACGGCCTCCAGAAAGGATAGAAGCGAAGCCTCGTGCATTATCGTTCAACACCAGCTGTCGAACGCTCCGGGAGTTGTAGTTGTAGGCGACGGAGCAATGGTTCTGTTTGGCTGATACCTTTCCTTCCAGGGTTACTCATGACTCACTCACTATCCCTGGAGTTTGACCAGGGGGGGGGGTTTATGGGTAGGGTGTCTTGCAACGAATGGGATCGTTCAGGGCCGGGGTGATGGCAGGGATATTAGGCACTGCTATGGCACCGTTGTGCTGATATGGATGGACGGGGTACTCCCTCTACGCATCTAGTTTCAAGACGGGAAGACGATAGTTCCACTCTCCTCCCCCTCCTCCTCCTCCCCTTCCTCACAAAAACCCCACATCCATCCACGCCCTCACATCCATCCCCCACCCCCCCCTCCCTTCCCCAGCCCCAACCCCCACCCCCCAGCCCCAACCCCAACCCCACCACCCCCCGCCCCATCCCCCACAACACGCAGAAGCCTCCTCGCCAAGACCCCACCCAAACCCCCCACTTCCGCTTCACCCCCTCGGAAGCCCATTTCCCAAGACGGCGCCGCCCGTACGCGGCCGCGCCCCAGAAGCCTAGCAGGAGGAGGGGGAGCAGGAAGGCTGCGAGGGGAAGAGGGTCCGGCGGTGGTGGTGTGGGAGACGGGGTTGAGTAGGGGGGCGGGGGTGGGGATGTGCGGGTGTTGCGTTGAGGGGGGATGCTCGGTTCGATTTGGAATGGGGGACGGGGGCGGGTGTGGGGGATGAGGATGGGGGTGGGGGTGGGAGGAGGTGGTGATGGGGTTTGTGGTTGTGGGTGGGTGATTGTGCGCATGGAATGGCGCGATGTTGTGGTGGTGGTGGGAGGAGGAGGAGCGTAAAGGTGCGGCGTGGGGGTGGGAAGGGTGGAGTTGGCGTATGCTGCTAGAAGGTTGGAGGATGTTTGGTTGAGTTTGTATTCTTTACGGGAGCGAGAGTAGGGGATCAGGGATGCTGCGGTGAGGATTACTTTGACCTCTGTTTTTACATAAGTCTTTTTCCGGAGTTGGAGGTTGCCGTCGAGGAGTAAGAGGATGCCGTTGTCGGGGTGAGGGGCACTGGGGGAGATGGGGAGGTGGCGAGTGCGTTGGTGTCGGTTTTCTGGATACCTCTCGGCGAGATCGCGGCCATCGAAGGAAGTAAGCTTCTGGTGTCAGTCGGGAGGTTTGAACGGTAGCTCCGAAGACTTGTGGGCTGGAATGCTAACGATGAGTACGGTTGCCTTTCCCTCTACTCGGTTGGTGGAGAGAACTACGATGGGATGATTGAAGCAGCCGTCTCCGATGTCTACACCTGCGAGAAGGCGTTCATCAATGTCGTCTTTCCTTGGTAGCCAAAGGATGCAACCGGTCTGGATAGCATGGTGTTGATGGGTCGTGCTCTGCGGGTAGCGTGCCTCTAAAGGTGACGGACCTGAGGAGAGGCGTGTTCGAGGCATTATGTCGTCCAGATGCAGATGGTTGAACAAAGAATGATATGTTCGCGGCCCCACTTTCTGCCTTATAAGGCTATCAAGAAGGCTTACTCAACTTCAACCGTTCATGCAATCGAATCAAATGGGATATTTATGCAGCCGTTTAACGCCGTAAACCCCGTTCTCATATATCTCCTCAACAAGCGTGACACGACTTGAACCAAGCTTCTCGAGCCCAACCCGTGTTGGAGCTATGTCGGATCGGATATCTTCAACAAATTTGGTGAGTTGCGGTCGAATCTGGGGGAAAGACTGAGACGATGGCGTAGGCTTGAAATTCCAACGCTGGAAGGTGGAATATGTTTATTTTTTTTTCGAGGAGCAGCGATTCCTCGCTGTTCCTGTCCGTGGTATTTCCCTCCCTGGCTCCTAGATCGAGATTCTCAACCACATGCCAGCAGCGATCGAACTTGACGTACTCATTTCGGGCAAAAGCTAGGGATTTCTCTTTCCAAAGCGATTCCAACTCGCGCTTCACTGAGACTATCCCCCCTCACCCAGATGCCATCCCGAAGCCCCCGCCGTACTCACTATACCAAACAGACCTACAGATCATCGTCCCACCTTATCTCCTTCTTGCACATGGTCCCCTCCCAGTGAGTCCCCAACTCCTCATCAAACGGAAGAACATGCTCCATCATCTTCCTCAACTTCCACCTCGAACGCGCAACTTTCACCAAGACAGTCCTGAAACCCTTCAACTCACCAATTGCATCTGTAAGCGCTTTTACCTCTCCCATCTCGCCCAGTAGGAAGCCCGCCTCGGAGACACACCTAATCTGGACTACACAAAATCTTCGAGTAAGGGTGATAGTTTGCTGTGCGAACTGCTTGACAAGATCTGTTGCGTCTTGGCTGTGTAGGGATGAGAATATAATATCCAAGTCAAGGTCGATGATGATATTCTGAAGATCGGCGGTGCTGAGAAGATCGTGTCGCAGAGCAGCGATTGCTTGTGGAAAATTGAAGAAGAAAGTGCCGCATTTGTACAGGATAAGCTTGGCTTCTTCATGAACGGATTTGGACACCAGAAGAATTGCAAGACCCTGAAAGTGCGGTGGTTTTCTGATGAAGGGGGAAACCCAGAGTTTGGAGGAATCAGGTAGGCAGTGGTTGTATGTTGCGGAGAGGTGTGAATCGTAGATTTGGTCTCGAAGCTCTTGTGGTAGGGATAGGAAGCGGAAGGTTTGATGTAGGCATTGTGGCTGATTCCTTCCTAGCCTGGATGAAATTCTCGTGGAGGATGTTGCAAGAAAGTGGATTCATCATGATGTTGAATCAGCAAAAATTGAGGTATTGAGGGTGGCAAGGGTTGACAAGCTCGACTTGCTGAGTGACTAACTACACTGTGGCACCGCATCAGCGTGTGAGTGGCATATGAGGCGGCATCAGGTGTTATCGTGAACGACGGTAAGAAAGGGAACGACTTCGATGTGATGGGTGGCGGATAGAGGCGAAGCCGTGGCAAGAGCTTTCCCAACTGCTGTTTCGCCAATTCCAAGTCGAATCATGGCCTTGAGCCGCCGATTGGACCAAAGTCCACCTTGGCGAAGGTCGATACACGATTCAGCTTTCGAATATTTGCTTTGCTCTGGTATCACGCGGCTTTTGAACTGTCGACCCGTAGTGGAGAGCGGTGCATACCGTAGCCATCTTTGTATTCTGGGCCCGACACCGTTCCATCAGACTCTCCGTCTATTTCCCTCAGCTCTCCTCCCCTTCTCCATCACCATCTCCTTCCCCATCCTCCACCCCCTCCATCTTAACATCCTCCTCCTCCCCATCACCCTCCCCTTCCTCCGTCTTTGTACTCCCCCTCCTCTCCCTAACCACCACCCCATCCGCCTCGCCATCCCCCTTGAAGCTTAGAAACCGCCAATCCTCAATCTCCTCGGTAACACACCTCAGACGATCCCTCACACTCTCGACCGCAAAACTTCCCAACAACAGCCTCAGCGGCGGAAAACTACAATGCCCCAACTGCCACACCAGTTCCGCTGCCTTGACCGCACTCGTAGGTTGCCGCTCCCCGAGCCATTGTACCATTCTTTTCGCGTGCCCGGCGGGGGATGTAGACGAGGCGTAAGGGGCGGAGGCGGGTTTGATGAAGAAATGACCGAAGGTGGGGAGCGGGGAGGTCTTTTCGAGGGGTGAGAGTGGCTCGTCGTCGCGGACGTGCCCGGGTTCGACGAGCGTGGCGCGGATGTTGAAGGCGTCAGTTTCGTAGAGCATAGACTCTATCAATCCTTCCACAGCGTACTTGGTAGCACAAAACGGTCCTAATCCCGGAACCCCAAGGGAACCACTCGTGCTACTAAAGATCAGATACCGCCCTCCACATCCGCCTTCGCTGTCGGCATCGGTCCGTTCGCGGAAGTAAGGGAGGGAGAGCTGGATTATATTGAGTGTACCCCAGAAGTTCGTCTCGAACTGGTTCCTGATCTCATAGTCATCCTGGTCTTCGCAAGCACCAATGACACCATAGCCGGAGCAATTCGCTATGATGTCCATTCTTCCCCAATGTTCCAGGCTCTTTTTAAAGACAGCGTCGACGGTTGAGCGGATGCGGACATCGCAGAGGAGGGGTAGGAATGGTGATTGGTCCAAAGACGCATTCGTCGAGGAGGTATTGGGCGAGGCAGGAGGGAGCAGTTGCATATTGGAGAGTGTGTCTGTCAAACTACGTCCAACTGCTGTGACAAGGTCGCTGTGGGCGAGGGCGGCTTTGACGACGGAGCGACCCATATGGCCTGTGGCGCCGAAGACCTGAGGATCAGCTTTTTAGTAGGCGTTGGAATACGCAGTAAGCGCATTAGGACCGCCGTGGTAGACTCACGACCCATACTCGCTGCTTCGCGGGGTTTTGAGGACCCGGTGGGTCACAGCTCAAGGGGAGTTGAAGCTTTGAGTTGAAGGACGCAGAGGAGGGCGAGTCCAATGCCGCCTCGACTTCGATGTCCATATTGTTGTACTGTCGACTGCCCTGCCCAAGGGCAATGAGACTTGTTATTGGGACATGGTGGTTGAAGAAGTCAGAATTCCAAGATCTCCGCCAAGGAAAGGCCGCAGAAGAATTCGCGCTAGCAAAGCCAACGATGGGAGTCTTCAAATATACAGATGCGTGAATTTGGAGAAGAAGCTGAGCCAAATCTCTTGTTGAATATTTGTACAGGCTATCTAATATCTATTCCATTGTGCCATTCCAGACCTTTGACAGGCTATGCCCACATGAAACATCCGAAATGTTTATGTATGAGAAGCCAACATTCGGCAACCTTAGGCACAAGCCAATAGCCAACAACCCATCCCACCCACCCTTGACTATGACTAAACAATGTTATCCCTAGGTGAATGTGGTGGTATCTCAGAAGTCCCCAGCACCTCGCTCATGACAGTACTCGTAAAATCCGAGATGTATACAATGAAAATAGTGGAATCGGTGCGCGTGCGACTCTGCTGGCCTGCGTTTCGTGGATGTCGTAGCAAAACTTTTTCAGGAGCTGTAGATTAGATGTGTTCAGGGTTTCGTAAAAGGACGGTGCGTTTTATCGTTCGTAGACTCTCGTGAGGTTTAGTCGATTATGTAGAAGTTGGTGTTAGAACGCTGACAACATTGCTCCCACTCGACTTGCGAGATGTATGAGGGCCTTCAATGGAGCTGGCATGCGTACTCGGCTGTGAGCCACTCTGTGGAGACTGTGCGGCGCCAGTCGAAAGGGGTGGTGTGGGGCCGACAGAAGTGTCGATAGTTGGAGGTGGAATCCGGCCATCTGCCATCTGTGGAGGACATGGAGCGCAATAAATGAGCTTTTCGATGGCCGCAATTTGTTTGCCATATGAAAATCGCTTGAGGAGAGCTAGTTGGGCTTTGGTCAGCTCGACGAAGTCATCCCATTCGGAGCCTTTGAGAACTTTCAAAAGCTTTTCTGCTCGGCTGTCAGCATTGTCTCCAAAGAAAGCATGAAAGATGCTTACGGATCACGTAGTTGCCATATTGATCCGTGATCAATATCTGAAGAGGACTTTGACCCTTGTCGTTGACCGCAGTCATAGTAGCAACGATTCGCTGCCTTTCCTCCTTCGAGCCAGATTGTATGCTATCCTCCACGACATTGCTGGCAAACTTGTGCTTTGAGAAATTGACCAGCTGGGAAGTCACAAGAGCAATGGTCCTCCCGCGGTCTTCCTCTCGGCCATGCTCAATGATGTGTTGCATTACGTAATTGCCGTACTGGTCGACGATCAGTGACGCAGCTGAGGCGTGGACTTCTTGGAGCACTGCCGTGCGAGTGTGCTCCTCGCAGTACTCGAGCATGCGCTGTATGACCCGGCAGCCATACTGGTGGGTCGCCAATTCTTGAACGTGGCCAGTGAAGGAGTTGATGATGAATTGGATATGCTCAGCGGGTATCCTCTCGAACGCCTTTTGAACCACATGATTTCCATTTTGATCTTTGACACATTTGAGGACGTTGTGCTGAAGTTCCCCGATCAGCTGCGCTTGTTGGTCGGTCAGGATGTGTTCCAGAGCCTGCGAAGTTTAGTGAAAAGCGAATATCAAGCCATTTGGTGGGACCGACCTTCTGCACTACACGGCAACCGTACATTTGGCAGGACAGCACCACAACATGACTTTTCATCTGGTTGGCCAAGCCCCTTTTCTGTGACTGATTACCGTGCTCAAAGAACTTCTGTATCACATAGTTACCGAAAACATCCGTCATCAGCTGCACCGTGTTCGTCATCAGCTCTCGATAGACCTGGTCTTTTTCATCGCTGTTGGCTGTCTCAAGCTCTCGTTGAATGAAACGAGCACCATACTGATCGCCGCTGAATTCCACGATATGATGGTAGATGTCCTATGGCCAATTAGCAGGTGCGCTTCTTCATCCTCAGGTACAAACCCACCTTTAGTTCATTGATTCGTTTGTTGGGCTTGTTCATGGTATCTTTGAATTCTCTCATCAACTGACTTTGGTCAACGTCATGGTCTCTTGCAGGTCCCCTAGGAACGTTTGGCGCTGTCAAAAGATTGGGTGCAGGAGGCACTGGGTAGTAAGAGTGGAGTTGATTCACTGGCAAGCCGTTCCGGGGGTAGAATTCGTACGGAGTCACGTGTTGGTACTGATTTCGGAATTGCACAAAGTTCGGCGGAGGAATCATGTAGCCCTGTTGCTCTTGCTGTAAACCACGCAGCCTCCGATCCAGCACGGCAGTCGAGACATTGTTGTTGTAACCACCGCGTGCAGGACCGCGCTGTTGATATGGAGGGGGGGTTCCGCCATTTGAGTAGAAGGGGCTGTGGTGGTGACTATGGCGTGCATCGCTGTTGCTCGGCGAGTGCGAGTATCGCGTGGCTAAAGCCACGGCTCGATGGTTGTTAGATTGAGACATCAAGGAACCCGACCCACTGCCAGCGGGAGAGAATTGATCTTGATGGCCTTGATACCCGCCATCATCTCTGCTATTCCAGACATCGTTGCCGCTGGGCACGAAGTCTTGGGGAAATCCACTCATGACTTGAAGCGAATTCCCATTTAATGCTTCTCTCTGCGCAGCAAACCCGGGCTGCTGGTTTTCCTGCCCCACATTGAGCTTGTCAAAGTCCCCCATGAGATGGTTGAGCTGTGTCGGGCTCAACTGGGCTGCGTACTTCTGTTTGGAGGGGCCTGTGGGGATCAAATATGGTGGAGCTTGAGCAGAAAGGTTGGGGCGATGCGGAGCAGTTGACGTGTTGGATGCGTTGTTTCGCAAATACTGATTGTTTGTTATGTCACCACGGGCGCGCGTTGAGTTCATTGCGTACTCAGCGTCACCGCGTGATGGTGGTATACTGCCGCTGCGGGATGCCGCGCTACTGTTATACCCAGACAAATGGGTATTGTTGTTATTGTTGAATGAAGGTCGAGCAGGCTGCATGCTAAAACCAGCATCAGTTCCCTCAAAAGCTATCTTCCTTTGCACGTATCTGTTTTCCTCGTCGCTATTGTGTCTTGATGTGCGGCTAATGTCGCTTGAATCGAATGCACCAGAAGCTACAAAACTGCCTGAAGTCGGGTCAAGGAAGCTCTTCTGCGAGGATCTGCTGGAGATCGTGGTAGACGGCGGTTGTATGGAAAAGTACGAGGAATTGACCGAGTTCGGTTCTGGAAACGCCTGAGGAATCAGGTGATTGCTGTGTTGGCGACTGATGGGAGAGGTATTCGAATGATTGGTGTGCACACGCGAGAGGCCAGGCGAAGTGTCATCCACAGATTTCCATGACCCGTGGCGGGCGTTGAAGCTGTCTGATTCGGAAGAGGGTAGCAGGGACTTGGACCCAGTCACTGCTTCAGAGGTGCCCGATGCGAGAAGCTCATCTTCTCGAACATATCAGTACGAGTCCAAAGGCAGCATAAGAACCATTTGACTGACTTGGCGCTCGACCATTATCTTGTAGCCCACCCTTCATTCCACTTCCAATAGCACTGCCCGACGACCAGATGTCGCCGGTCCAAGCGCTAGCCCCATTTCCAAACCCAGACCCGAATGCTTTGTTGGCCGATCGTGGCTGCTCGTTATTGGATGTACCGGTTCCCAACCCAAATGGCCCAAGCCGATTATTCCGGGTCTGCTGCAAAAAGCGTCAGCTTTGAAGATCTGTCGCAGAACTTGATCGCAATGTGCATGACCTACCGTTGAGGTCATTGTTCAGCTTTCGATCAGGCTGATTGTGGTATACGCGAGACCAGTCCGAGGAAGGTGCGAAGGAACAGTCCTTTTCTTTTTGCAGAGGCAGTGTTCATGCATTCATTACAGACAGCCACTTTATACAAGACCGCTCAGTATATGTGAAGGTAAAGTATTACTGCAGCAGAGGGAAGTATTAGTCTTCTGCGAAGTTTGGGAAGCTTGTCTCGATCTGGCGGGGGGAAGGACAAGACTTACACAGGAGATGCTCGGTCTAAGAAGGGTGGTGAATAGTTCCATATACAAGATTGGTGAAGAAGGGAGAGGAACCGGAATGGATCCAAAGGATTAATATAAAGAAGATAAGAAGAAGAAGTAAGGTGTCGGGGGACCCCTTCGTCGGAAGTGCAATTGGATGTCTTCGAATCAGCAGGCAGCCGACCATTAATTGTACGCAATTCGAAGGATCCCCGCACCAGGCGTCCCAAAGCTTTCACCGCCAATTGCCCACATAGAGACTCTGGAATGAAGGAATCTTGTCGTTGAAAGGCCGGCGGAAAGAGAGTGGAGTCCAAAAGGTCAAGTAAGGGAGTGCGCAGGCTGTGCGCGTGAGGAATGTTTAGGGAGATTTTGGGGTGCAGCTCGTATCGGGAAAAAGAACGGGATCAAGTTTGGGAGGGATTGCTGACACCAGGGGCAAGATATTCTTCAAGAGCAGGCTTCGAGGTTCAGCGTGATAAATATCTCAGTCGCAAAAAGGGAAGAAAGAAAGACGACGTGGATTGGAAAATGAACGTTTGTGACAGAATTCCGCTCAGGTTAACAGGGCGTGTTTAAACTACGACTAAGCCGAATGAATGATAAGCCCCAGGGTCCATGCCCATGCTGCTGGCGCCACGCTTAGCCTGCAATTGCATCGTCCTAGGGGCGGAACTATCCTCTCTCGCCCGGGCACGTCGACCCAAAAATAGGGTCGAGATAGGGATAAATTAGGGCTACCCCCCCGGGCTAGGAAAGCAAGTCAATTGGCATCACCATCAGCAGTCTTGCCCTTTTTGTTCACAGTACGACTGCCGTCAACTGGATGAGCATCCTGGTCTGTGCATCTTTCACATTGCATTATTGAATGACGATAATCTCTGCGTTATCAAATACGAGCTTCTTTCCCCAGAGAAGAGATGTGCGATGCAGGTCAGCAAATGGTGGAAGGACATGATTGGCTATCCTTGCTTCTCCATCAACCGTTAGCCTTCCCTTATTCATCCCGTCTTCCCCTGCTGCAGCTAGCCCTACCAGATTCAGGGGACTTTTCGTCCTGCCATCATCCATCATCCATCGTCCATCAGCGCTGCCGCTCAGGAATACCTACCGTGCTGTAGGTAATCCTTCTTCAGACGAAAGCACACTCGAGGATCCATCATCAATGCAGACCATATTCAACCCACAAGAATCATGTGTGGTCTCCGAGGAATCGGGCATCAGCGCTGATGATGCCCTCCGCCGGCTTCTGGCTTGCTGGAGGGAGCCTTCATCCTGCGCCGGGGAACCGGGTGGAAGAAGACGTCGTGCGAGAATATGATGTGTCGGATTTGCTGGGAATTCATCGCACATCTCGCTGTTAAATAACTGCCATACCGTACATAGATCGTGACTCATGACTCGCTTCTTGGTCCTTGGTATAAAGCTTGCGCACAAAGGTGATCGACCTCTTTGTTTCCGGTGGGCGCTGGTGGGCGTCATTGAATGACCCGAGCCTTGGATTTCTGGACATGATTACCTATTGACAATCCACAAAGAATGCCTCTCAGTTTGCCACTGTCAGCAGCAGCAACTACTGCACTGGCTCGCACGCGCATGATTGAACATGTAAGATCTTACCTTTGAGATGAATGATATGCAGAATCATAGTCTTTCGTCAGATGCTTCATTATTCGGTCTCTTAGGTATTTCATCACTCACTACCTTATGGTAATCAGTAATCACCACTTCAATAATAATGGTGAAGCTAGGTAGATCCATGCGCTTTGAACCTTGAAGGCTTGAAGCTCGTCTTTTTCGTGTTTAGTGTTTACTCTTTTTTCGTTTCTCCCTGTAGGCGCCGGAAAAAGAGATTAAAGACTTGCCGGTTTTGTTGATGTCGACCTAAAATTCAAGCTCTTGGTCTCTTGGCACCGGCTCACCCACCTCCTGAGTCCTGACTTCCTCCTCCTCCTTCCTTCCTTCTAATTCTTTCACTTTTCATCTTTTTCAAACAACCACCGAGACCGTGCAGGTAGCAGCTTCATTCCTTTAGCTGTTACTGTGCTTTACCTTCCTTTCTAACCTTCTACCGCTCGATTGGACACTCTTTCCATTCTCCGCCTGTCCCTCGAACCCCTCCTTTTTAGCGCGAATTCATGGTATGTGCTGCACGACCACGTCAATAAACGGCTTTTTGCGGAAGACTGACCTCAACAACGGAATTGCGACAATCATACACCACCACTCTCATTACAATACCCATCAACAATTACACTCGTTAATCGATCCATTATCCACACGCTCATTCAGCAATGCCTGTCATCCCCACACTCGTCGTCCGAGACGATTCGAGCAGCACCAGCACCAGCATGACCCCGACCATGATGAAACTTCTGATCGCACTCGTCGTCCTGGTCCTGTTCGGCATCTGCCTCACCGGCGGCCTCTTCATCCTCCGCGCTCGCCGAAAGGCCAAGCAGATCGAGAAACTCACCCATCTTCCATTCCACGCCAGCAGCCCTTCTTCCAAATCCTCCAGTCACCGCCGCCTTACCGTCATCACTGCTCCTCATGGTCGCCACTCGAAACCCATCAATATCTACAATGAGAAGGAGATTTTGGTCGAAGACTCTTCGCGACCCGGCTCGCCTGTAAGCCCAGTGCCCGAGATCCGCATCACCTTCCCTGAAGAAGAGAATGAAGCCGGGAAAAGCAAGTCCGGACGCGTGGTGGTGGTCCGCATCAGCGAGACAGGAGGGTTGGGATTGGAGCCCTATAGCGACGAACACTTACCGGCATACCAGCAATCGGACGCTGAGAGGTTCCAGTCGCTGGACTTGGATAGGATGGGTGGCTTGAAGGAGGTGGAGCGGGGTGAAAAAGTGTGATGCGCTGGAGTGTCATACAAAGAACTTGGCCACCATATCTAGCCGCTGTCTCCACATCTGGCGCAGTCGGCCTTGGCCCCCTTTTCACCAACTGACGACTACGACTCTTTGCTACGATCGCTGCTAGCTGCATCAAGGGCCCGCCAACCTCTACCATCAACGCCGCTGCGCTGATATGATCGAAACTCTTCTAAATCTTAATGGCTGTGTACTTGGGTACTTTGCCACAAGTTTTCCCCTTCTGGCTTTTCATGGCAGGGAGCCACAGCACACGAGTCTTTGTAACTCTACACTTCGGCACAGCAGCAGTTTATAATGTATTTACTTAATTCAATGTTTCATGACTCAACTTAAGTTTGCGCGAATGTCTGATCAATTGCCCACAGGCTAGCGCTCATGGCAAAGTGACCTAGCTCTTCAATTCCATATTCATACCATCGCTCATGCTTTGGAATGCCCTATCAGAATATCATCTCAGTGCCTGCAATGCAATGAAATTGGTGGATCTCTATTGAAAGGCAAATTCCAATGCGGTTACCACCGAGCTTCATACTAAAAGCATATTACCACCAACCCTACACGAGAGACATGAGCCGTATGAGATAAAAAGCCCAAGTGTTGAATGCACGTAGTCTAGTCAGCCCCAGTATATGATGTAAACAAGCCTGAGCACATCGGCGAGCTAGGGCCAAAAGAGGGCTCGACATAGGGTTAAATTCAAGATTTTCTCTGCACATTCAAAGTCAAATCCTTCGTCCAACTCCAACTTCTTGAGTTAGGTACCTCGAGTAAGATGAGATTCAAAGCCTCAATCAGGAACATTCATACCTTCACCAGTAAGCCTAGTAAAGTCCCGCGAGTCTGCCACCAAGAAGCCCCGTTAACGCGTGTCTCTCAAGGACTAACCGCGTCCCTCTCCTTACTCGGCAAAGATGTCTGGCTTCAGCTCAACAACGAGCAGCTGCGCTTCACTGTTGTCCCAGAGCAGGGCAGTCAAGTGTGGGCGTACGTCCTACGGCCTTGCACTTGGCTCACATGGAAGACGGCCTGACTTCTGTCTAGGGTCCTTGCCATAGTAAGCCTCACACCCATCAAACGCCCTCTACAAAGCGCGCCCCCCTTGACTGGGTGCAATTAGGATACAATTTTCGAAACCTACACCATCCAGTCCGCCATCGAAAACAACACTATAAACCTCCGCATACCTCTCGCCTCCCTCCACCGCGCCCTTCGTTCCGCCCTCACGGCGTCCTCAGCCTCTATCCGTTTAACGAAGAAAGACAACATACCCCTGCTGTCTCTGACCATCATCACCAACACCTTGAACTCCTCGCGCCCCCCTACATCCATTACAACCACAACCCTAAACTCGGACAACGCCCCCTTCCCCGTCGATGACGCCTCCAACAACAATGAATCCCTCGGCGACCCAAACCCCGGCTTCTTCCCACACGATCGAGAAACGACCATCACGCAAGACATACCCGTCATGGTCCTCGCCGCCGCCACGGTAGCGAGTATACACGAGCCCCAATGTCCCCAACCCGACGTTCACATCATGCTCCCGTCCCTGCTCCAGCTCAAAGCAATCTCCGAACGCTTCACCAAGCTCGCCCTCTCAACCTCCACCTCGGCCACCAACCGCGGCCGCGCGCCCGACGCCCTGTCCTCCCAGTCGCGCCTCACGCTGTCGGCGAACGCTCATGGTGTGTTGAGGATCGGAGTGGAGACGCCGGGTCTAAAGATCGAGAGTAAATGGGAGGGGCTGACGAATCCGGAATTGGATCCCGAACAGGTTGAAGGAGGGGAGGAGGGCGTGAGGGGACATGCGAGTACGAGGATGAAGGAAAGAGAAGGGGCCGAGGCGTGGAGTGTGGTTAGGGTTGAGGGGAGGGATTGGGGGAGGGTGCTTGGGGTGGGACGGTTGGGAGGACGGGTCATCGCATGTGAGCATATACCGCACCTGACTCGTCCGTCTAGGATTTAACAGCTAACGTGCGGTTCTTGCATTGCAGGTTTCTGCCACGAGCACGCTTTAATTCTTTACGTCTACCTCTCCGGCGACGATACGGAATCTGTCCTGACAGTACGTCTTTTCCCACCGGATCAAGTTGTGCCCCCCTCCTGCACAATTACTGACCTTCTTACCCATCCTTAGTATTACATTGCATCTTACAGCGCTTGATACCCCTATTCGCTGTCATCTATCTCTAGCAAGCTTTGCTCAGCTAGATCAAAGTCGATTGCCGGCCTCTGAAGAAAGCCTTTGAGCAAATATCTTGCATTTCTACATCCTATTCGCTTTCTCTGCTGTTCTTGTTCCCTCCACGACCACTATACAACTCAAAAAGGCTCATCATCTCTGCGCCCCGCCGTTCTATCTTCACCTACGGCGCACCTCTCGTCCCCCTATTGCCCCCGTAGTAGGCCAGATATCCCTCAAACTGGCCCCCAACGGCTGAGCTCCGCAGCCAGTCCATCAGACCAGCGGTGCATGAGAGCGGGCTCCTGCCCCTCGAAGCCGCCACCCTGCAAAGCTTCTCGCGCTGGTATTCCGCCATCGCAAGGTACACGTCCGGCGCATCGGATCTCCACCCTCACGCGTCCCTCACGCCCGTGTTGGCCAAAGCGATCCCCGTTGTATCTTTGCCCATCTGCTGGCCTGGATTCAGAAATTACAAAAGTAAATTTTCCGCAGCGTTGGATCTCGCCCACGGGGCGACGCTAGCGGCGTCTTTGGAAACGCCTACCTTAAGTGAGACCGTTTACGCCTCTGCCAGTGCACTTCCAGATATGTGGCGGTTCTGAGCGTCCGCGTCTATCACTTTGTGAACCTGTGGGTGCCATGCCCTACTTCGTTTACATTTGCTCAAAAATCATGTCTGACGAGGGTAAATAGTCCTTCCTGATTCGACTCCCAACTGTCAAGCTCACAACTCTCTAGCACGAGTCTCTGTACCAGAGTTATCGGCCAACTGCAACGAGTGGCTCGCACTGAACTTTCAGGGCCCTCAAATGCAAACCAATCAAGTGTTACAATCAAGTGTTTGATTTGATTTGAGAAGCCTCGTCGCCTTTACGTTGGTGGGGAATGAGCTCGCCCTAGCCCGGGCCATGGAATCAAGGACGCCTACATGACGGAGCCGGCGATGTCTGCTTGTGCTAAGCTTTCATATTAGACGGAGCGTGATGGATGAGGTCGTAAGAGACCGTCTGACATCGCATCAGGTTTTCGAGTTGAATTGCCTAACAGCGCCTTCGAGGGGTTCCACAACCTCACTGTAGATAGCAGCGCGCAGTTCGTCGTCCTCAAGGTCGGTGCTTTTTGGGCCAAAAGCACAGAACAGACATCTACGTATTGCTTCAAAGTATTCAGGCCCACCCTCCCCAAGAGCGTCGTGTTGCAACCAGTGCTGAGCGGTGCAGAAATCCGTCATGTCGTTTGGTTGCCCATCCGGACCCAGGTACTTTGACCGAATTGGCTGATCTTCAATTGCTTCCCCAAAGCATAGCTCGAGGAGCATGATACCAAGGGCTTGAATGATCTTAGTACTTGAATCGAGACCTATTTGTTCACTCACCGAGGTAACGGATGCTTGAGGCGAATAGGACGTAAATTTGCGAGTAACGTATGGCTTGTCCACAAGGATAGGCCTAGGTGAGCCGCTCGCTGCGATCAGAAAGTATATGTCATTTTTACTCCATGTCTCCCCGATCCATGGGGAGCTGTAGAGCTGGAGAAGGGAAGACGCGAGAGTGACCGCGATTGAATACCTCTCTAGTCGAGATAGGGTCATGGAAGCCGTCCCCCTAAGGTCCCTACCGTTGCTGCTCGTAGTCTTTGAGAGCAGACTCGCAAGGGTCACGGTTTCAGCGTTTTCAGAGAACCTGGTGGGCTGTATAGAGGGGTAAAAGGCATGCCGTCGGTCTTGCGAATCACGAAGATATCCTAGCGGTCCCTTGCATGTTCCATGATGAGCCTTCCTTACAGCTTCACAAAGATCGGCTATCTCGATCAGATCTGGGATGTTTGGGCCCATCGATCCTTGAGGCGGCTGGACTGTAATTTGCGGGAATGCGACTTTCTTTGTAGACTTCTTGAAGGGGTGTAAATAGTCTGGGCTGCTTGCCTCGAACGTGTTCGTCACATCGGTCAGCATTGCTGTTGTCGAAGCGTTGGTTTTTGTCGACGTCAGAGACAGGAGGTGGCCTCTCTCAGCTTCAATCAGCTTTATTTCGGTCTCATGCCAGCTCAGCGGCAACCTCTGAGACTCAGTCCTCAGGAAAAAAAGAACGCTCAGCTGTGCTGCTGGAGGATCTGTCGTCTTAGCCTTGTGGTGTCGATTCAACGTGTCGATGCGTTTCTCTAAGAGCAGATTGGCTTGATGCGAAGGTGTAGCATCTGTACATTGGCACCTCCAACCTGTTGCTAGAACGCCGTATAGACCACATGCTTGCTCCCTGATCCGCTTGAATGCGTTGGGTGTCCTTCGCCGCTTTCTGAGTGGTGCCAGCCTTTCACTTGAGGTGAAGAGCTTCTGCAACTCTTCATTGTTGGCCGTGAGGTCCCCAACCAGCTTCTCTCGCTTCTTTTTAGAGAGCACGTATTTGATCCTCCTAAATTCATATTCCCACTTGATCCGATTGGCATCATCCGTCCACGTCAACTTGCTATTTTGTATACCCAACTTTTTCTGCAGCGCGTCCATCGTCTCCTTCATATCATCGATTGTGTTTCGATAGGACTCGTACGACTTGGGCAGGCGATCCCTAAGCCTCTCCTCGAGTTCGACACGGCGCCAGAAAGGGCCTGTGGGATTGCGCAAAAGGGCGTCTATTTCGGCGTCTGAGGTGATGATTGGCGACAGCAACTCCTCGAGGTTCTCGTCGAAGAGGATCGCTTGCCGGCCAATAACGTGTACGAAACCGATGAATTCGGTCCGAAACTTCCACCAATCGCTCAATCTTTCGAAGCCTTCCTGATAATGCTCGAGGGCCGAGACGAGGAGGGGAAAGATGGCCAGCACGAGGCCTGCTGTCTCCACGCCGGTGATCATGGCGAGCCAACAACCTCGCCATTCAGTACATGTGAATGTTGTGGCTTCTCCCTTAAGTGTATTGCAGAATGGTAAACCGCAAGATGGGCGACGGCAAGATGATAGGAGGGAGCGAGGCTGACCGCTGAACATCTCAATTTTCCCCGCGCGGCTGGAAGGCGCGGTGGGGTGCCAAACCATCCACCATCCTGCAACTTCCTTTATCTTCATCTCTACCTGTACATTCAATGATGGTCCCGCATACATAAGGCAGCTGGCAACGCTAGTATTGCATTAATCAATCTGTGGCGAAATGGGGCTTCTCCAGGGTTGACTGTTTTTGGCTTGACAGAATTGCAGTCTTTGAGGAATGAAGAGAGACACTCTGATGGGATAGAGGGTCATCTGGTCTCATTCCATCATGTCCGATGGCGATCGCGTCTCGCAGCCTTCAGTGTCTAAGACACTTAGAGCATTTAGCAGAGGAAGCGCAACATTCGGACGGTGAATCCGCGCTGCCAGCCTCCGCAGTGGGGGATGAACTTGGAAGGTTCAAGATCTGGGCGGGCAATATTGGAGCGTTACAAAGAGATTCAAGATCTCTCGACTATCGACTCCGTGACGCGTCTCAGGTAGGGGACCAGGTCATGAAAGTCTTGCAAGATCTCGAGTTGTCACTTCACGAATGTACGTGAATGCCTAGCTACAAGCCCCGTACAAAGTCCAAAAAATTGACATCTGACGCAGGCATTGAAATTGTGTCCGGGCAAAGAGCCCAAAAACAAGGCGATTTGTTTGACGGAGAAGCTTTCAATGATGAGTTTAGTGATATATCTGACTCAGATGGCTCTGAGGACCCGAGCTCCAGTGCTAGCGAAGAGGAACCTGTTTCAGAACTTTCCCACTTGTTTTTGGCTATAACAGAAGCCATTACAAGTCTTTATAAGCTGTCCATAACCATTAGAAACCCCACTCCTCGCGATAGATACGCCAAGGCCGCGTCTTCAACCCCATTCGATGCGTCTTATGACGTGGGCCATGTGTACGAGAAATTCCCACATGTCCGGTCGAAAGCGTGGCTTATGGACAAATTGGGGAGGGCAATCACCAGAAGACGTGAGTTCCTTCGATACCGGGAAAAGCATCGGGAGAAAATTGGCGGCAATGTCAGACCCTCAACTGACCTTACGGAACATCATGAGCTGGCGATTTCCCGCAAAAACCTCACATACAATGATGCCCAGACCTCAACAGGGGCCCCAGTAATCGGGTACGAAGCACATTCTGTGAGTCATAGCCAATTTGCATCGACCAAAGCCACGACGTATGTGGCCAATCTTAATGACGAAAGTCTGGACATGCGATCGACTGCAGGCCGCTCTGAGACCTCGTATGTGACATCAGTCGCAGAAGATAATTCGGAAAACACGATGCAAATACCGGACCCTCCGAAAGAATCGGCGAACGGCATGCCATTCGAATGTCCATACTGTTTTACGATTCAGTCCGTCAGAAACGCCAAGCACTGGAGGTGAGCCTCTCCTTTTCTTTCAATATCAGCCCATTACCTTTCGGCAATTCCATGAGTTCGGTCAATCTCTTTAGTTGTGCTCGAATTTCCCACGGGAACTGTCACTCGTGTACCAGTACATTCATGAGTATGGATCATACATATCGCACAAGCGTTTGGTACATCCTTTATAAATCTAGCAAGCTCAGGGTCATGATCCCTATACCTACGACCCGCATCAAACAGCGTCCGTTCAATATCGTTACGAGTGCTTCGGATTAAGTCTCTCATTCTTAGCACCTTTCGGGATGCGTTCTGTAGCACACGTAGAGGTACGTGGGCCATGACCCTCCGCAAAGCCGCAGGCTTTGGAGACGAATCCCTGTTAGTTTCCTGCCATTGTTCTAAGCCCTTGCGCACACTTCTTGATCTGGACCTTCTGCTGCAGCTAGCTAGTATCCTGAGTACTAACGATTACAGGAAACACCTCTTGAGTGATCTCAAGCCATACATCTGCACTTTCGAAGACTGTTCTGCACAGATGTTCGATAGACGACATATGTGGTTTCAGCACGAAATGGACAAGCATCGAAAACAATGGCGGTGCAGGTTCTGTTCCTGCGAGCTGTTCGGCTCTGCAGCCTCACTTGAATCACACTTGCAAGATCAGCATTCGGAGTATACCAAGCAGCAGGTTTTGTCGTTGGTTGCGTTGTGTGCACAAATGCCTGAGCATGTCGCCGCCTCGGCCTGTCCATTCTGCGACTGGGATGCAGATTTACGGGAGCAAGCCGTATCAAAAGAGAACGAGACAGCAAGAGCGCCTTCAGAGTCGAACATATTTGCCGTCTCGCTTGAGCAGTTCCAGAGACACTTGGGCGATCATCTCGAGCAGCTGGCCTTGTTTGCGATACCACCACCCATGAAAGAGTTATCTGGAGCGTCTTCAAACCAGGCCGCGGCAAGCCACAATAGCAACCATACGCTTGATTCATTTGTGGTATCGGAGGTATCATCCCTGTCATCGGCCCTTACGGATAATGGGTTCCCTCCAGAGTTGTACGCAGCAGTGATGAGTGGTAACATTGGAAGGGTGACGCTGGAACTGCGGAATCGCGCGGACCTCACACTCCAGTACGGAGGATTTGGGAATGTGCTACATGCTGCTGCTGCAAGCTTGTCTTGGCCCTCCAGAGACGAAATACTCCGAATTTTGGTGGAAAATGGTGCCGATGCCAACATGCAAGGTGGCGTTTACGGGAATACGCTGCAGGCTGTGGCAGCAGATCCCAGTATGTCCGGTCGCCGGCTATTAGCACTTGGGATGTTGTTGGACCATGGCGCAGAAGTCAATGCCGTTGGAGGGAGATACGGACATGCCCTCATAGCCGCGGCAGCAATGCCAACGCCTCTTTCACAGATGCAACACGAGCCAACTTCGATGGTACTAAAGCTTCTACTAGATCATGGTGCCAATCCTAATGCGCGAGGGTCCAAATCATATGGTAGTGCACTGCATCAGGCAATTGAACATGATGATTATGAAAGTGTACAGTTACTTCTTGACCGAGGGGCGTCCACGACTGTCCATTATGAGGACTATGGAACTCCGGTTCACTATGCTATGAAACATGCCTATGGGCCAGTATGGCAGCTCTTACGACAAGCGGCTCTCGAAACGAGGATTGAACGCCATTATGATAAAGTACCGCTTAGGGCTGCACTCAAGATACAAAGATACTTCCGACACCGTCAAAACTCGGGTGATAGAACATTGTCTTCTCAACTCTCGCAGCGGAAGACATTCGTCCTCAGGAGTATAGAGAATATATTGATAGAGATCGAATTCAACGACTTTCAGCTCGGAAAAGCGCAGGAAACTGTCGCTCGGGAAGCGTTCGCATCTACTCGGGCGAGTCTGAAGCTGTTGACTGAAAACTTAATGAAAGTTCGAAAACAGCTCGAGGATGATGACAAAGAATGCCAAGTACTTCAGCCCATCTTACAAGATTGCATGGAGAGGGTTCGCGAGCTTAGAGAATTTCTTTGGACCCCCAGAGGCGGCTTGGGGAGCATGAGCAATCTTCTACTGCTAAAATTGGAGCCTGCACAAGCTGCCCAGCTAGTGGAGATGAAGTTGCGGATTCAGAAAGTCACATCATTACTGGCCCAATATGCCACAACTTCGAAAGCAGCTTTTGGCTTGCTACTTGAAGGTGATGGAAGGGCACCTGTTCCCCCATCAAGGCCGGTCGCCGACGTCTCTGAACTCACAATTCCACCCCCAATTGATGGTACCGTAGTGCGGCTGATGACCGGAAAGGCTGTAGCTCTCTTCGATTTCAAGCCTGAAAACATAAATGAGCTACCATTACACGAAGGTCAAGTAATTTCGGTCCTTCAGACGTTTGGTGCTGAAAGAGGCCAAGACGACATTCGGGCCAAAATCAAAGAAGAGGCTAAATTCCAAATGGGGGTAGGAAACATGTTGGAAGCCCTGATGCAACGGAAAGCCAGAAAAACAAGTGACCCACGGTTGAAGCTGGAATCCGAGCTCTCGACTTCTAACAGAAAGCTTCTGTACCTTAACTCTCAACTTAAGGACAATCTTGCGCAATCCGCTTACCAAATGGCCGAAGGCTGGTTTTTGGGCCAAAACATTGAGACTGGCAGGGATGGTTTTATACCTGAAAACTATGTGCGGATTATTGACAGCCGCAAGGGGTTAGATAACGAGCAGAGCGAGTCCCACAACAGGTCCACAGGCGATTTCACTCCCATCCAGGATGCTCCACAACCAACAGAACATAAGGCGCTGGACGAAGAAGAAGATTATTGTCCAATCTGCCATACATCGTTTGCGCTGATAACTGACGGTAGTGATGATGTAAGGGAGTCACATATTATAACGTGCATCGATTCTCGTATGCTCAACATCAAGCTGAGAAAAGGGATTCTCAAAGCTTCGCAGCCACAAACCTCACGAGGAAACATTGACCAAGGTGAAGGCGCGGTCAAGAGTGATTCACCAGGACGGCCAGCCACGCAGACTAAAGGTAAAACGGCTGAAGGCCGCTGGGGCCGTCTCTGGTCAACAGTCAACCCCTCTGCCCGAATGCGAAAGCAAGGTTTGCAGCTGGACAACTCAACAGGGCTTCTGTTGGAGGATCATGCTGTTGCGCTGTTTAACTTTAAGGGTACTCGGTCCGATGACCTATCCTTTCGAAAAGGAAAGACCATTACAATCACGGAGAGGACGGAGAGTACCCGAGATTGGTGGACAGGAAAGATCGGGTCCAGAACGGGGAATTTTCCTGGGTATGTAATGATCAATTTTGATTTCGTTCGAGATCTAGCGCACCGGCTGACCATCCATAGTAATTTCGTCGAGGTACTACCACCTGGTTTGAAAGGAGCCGACTTGGTCCAAGGCCAGTCTACACCAAGGTCAACAGTCGGTGTTCGTTTTAGTAATGAGGTCGGAATCACGACTTTCTCTGGAGTCGAACAGCCGTCTACTCTTTATTATGGAGTGCCGCTCGAAGAACTGTGTCAGCGCGAGAAGGGACCAGTACCGAAGTTAATCACAGACTGCATTGAGGCCGTCGAGTTCCATGGCATGGGTCTCATAGGAGTGTACGGTAATTTTCATATTGACTGGAATGAAAATCTAACGGATGACTTGAAGGCGGAATATGACCAACGTAAGAATAAACCGATCTGTCAGTCTCATCAACTCAAACTAATTAGACCTCGTTCATCAAATCAGATCCCGAATCCCTATCCCTGCAACAGCAAATCCGCATCCCTAACAACATCGAATACGTAACACACCTTCTCAAGAACTTCATTTGGCAACTCCCAGGCTTATTGATACCTCGCGAAAGCCTTGCAAGATTCGTACGCGCGGCGCAATTCGTTGCGAGGCAGCGGATTGACCACTTTGGATACGAAAAAGGCGAAGGCCAAGCTACCACTGAGTTGCAAGCGACCATCAGCTCGCTCCCGCAAGTCAACAGGAACGTCTTCGAATTTCTCATCCTCGTACGTCTCCAACACCAATTGCTCCCAGCCCCTCCCTCTCTCCCTCTGAGCAGCCGCTTCCACTGGGTGCAATCGCTAATCGATCCAAAACCACAGCATTTCAAGCGCGTCACCGATAGGGCATACCAGAACACCATGACGAGTGACAAACTCGCCGTTGCACTCGCCCCGTCCTTCAAAGGCGGCGTCGACTCGGGCGCTGGACCCAAACTACCCCTCGCCGATCTCTCATGGGCTCTTGAGTACATAATCCGCCGCGGTGGTTTCTGGTTCCGCGACCTGGAAAAACCGTGGGGCGTATTCGAGTGAGTAAGATATCTACTATAAACGTTCTGTTTGCGGTACACTAATCGGGCCTAAATGGGAGGGGCGGGAAGACGGAGAAGATGAGGAGAAGAGTAGATGGGTGTGTCATCCGTGATACTAATGTTGCGGGCGCGCTATTGGGAGTCCTAGATGCTTGCTTGTGGTGGCGAGGAATGAATAGATCGTCGGTTTTGGGGCTAGATGTCGCTGACGTGACAATGTGACAATGTGACATATTGAGACTCAGAAATGGTAAAAATTTGTCCGTGATCAAGGCCTATTCAATGATGTATGACTTGGACAGTAATGGCATTATCCCGGAGCGCTAATTGGGAAAAGTTCAGAAGCGGGGGTTCGCCATTGTCGTATGGTATATTGCAAATCTGAGATCTTAATGTGCACGTAACGTCCTCTGCTGGGAAATTAAACATTCATTATTTCTTCTACCGCGTAACAGTAGGTCTATCATAATAGTAGGTCTAGTTCAACCGTGGGTATCAACGCGCTATCATAACCTCGTCTAAACGCAGGCGGGAAAAAAAGGGGGCACTCCAGTCATGAGCCATGACATGCTATTACCGCTGCCTCCGAGATCAAACCCTCACTGATGGAAGGCGTACTTACGTTGAGGCTGACCGTCTCTCAGCCCTCTTTTCTTCTTTTGAGAAACACCCTCTTCGTCGCTCCCACCTTGCCCAACTCTCCCACTACGCTTTCGCTGCCGCCTTTCTTCTCCGCACCGCTGTTCCTCGCTTGCTCCATCATCTCATCTACCCACGCCTGCTTGCTAGGCGAGATGTCCACGTTCTTTGTCTTAGGCCCTGCAAGACCAAGAGACGGAGAGACTTCTTCTGTACCTGCCCATGAGAACAGCGGTGAGGTTCGAGAAGAAGGATCCGATTGAGGCGTATGGGGTCCGTTGAATATCGCTGGAGATGTATGCTGCCTTGTAAGCCTATTGGCCGGACTTTGCTTCAGTGATGATGTGGGAGAAGCTGGTCTACTTCCAGGTCTGCTACGGGGCGATTGGTTGTTGATCAGTGGCGAAGACGTTGGAAGCCCCGTTATATCGAACGGGTTATCTGAGACTGATCGTCGACCATGATGACCAGCGTATTCTCGTAAATACTCGCCCAGATCAGCCCAACCACCTCCAATGCGCACCATGACGCGTTCACCTCCTTCGCCGACGAGTCGAACGAAAAGTTTGATAGGAGCAGTCTTGCCGTTCTGATGCAGATGGTATAGCTTTATATCTGGCTCACCAGTCAGTGATCGTGACTGGGAGCTCTTTGGCTGCGCAGGTGCTAGGGTCATCGACGGCAGTGGGGTCGATGTCTGAGTTCTCTTCAGTCGCCAAGCAGGCGAGCCGCTTTTGGGCAGTCGCGGATCTGAAGGAGAGTTGAAGCGAGTGACTTCGGGAGCATCAGGCTCGGGCCCAGACGTTAGGCGGATTTGCGTTGGGAGCTCGGTCAAGATGGAGCTGATACGTTCTTCGAGTCGATCATCAAATTTGCTTGGGGACGAGCCTAGTGCCGTTCGTGGTGTCTCAACATGCTTAGCAGCGTGGCCGCCAATTGGATCGCTCATCTTCATCTGCCGTATCTTTACGGGCATAGAGCCCGGACCTAGGTCAGATACTTGTTCGAATCTGTGGGTAGATCTTGGGGGAACAGGTGGCGGTGAGTGGTATGGAGTTGGATGCTCAGCCATGTCGAGCTCCCAATATAGATTCTGTGGCGGGTCAGCAGGTCTTGGGGACACAGCAGGCGGTAAATGGTATGGAAGTTGTTGCTTAGGCGTGCGGAACTCCCGGTCTGAGCTTGGTGCTGACATGGACGGGTTTACGGAAACGGGTGGCGGTGGGCGATAGAGAGGTGGTTGCTTGGGCATGTCAAGTCCCGGATCTAGATTCTGTGCGGGTGCTGACGATTGGTGACCCTTTACCTTTCTAGAGGTTGACAGTGGTGTGGTAGTACATAAGGCCTCTGGTTCTCCATGTTGCGGAGCGGAGGAGGCAGGCACTCTGCTCGGCTGCACCTGAATATACTCTGGATCTGATAGCGAGAACGCTGAAGAGTAACTCCCAGTTCTTTGTACTTGAATCCTGCGGATCTCGTGTTTTGGGACGATTTCGAAGGACTGAAGTGAAGCACTCCTGGTTCTGACATGCCCTGAGCCTCCATTGCGCCGTTTATTCGTGGAAACGAGGTCTGAAAGTGAGCCGTCCTGATGACTCCTGGCCCCATCACCCTCTGCCGGGTGACCCTGCCTCCGGAAGGAAATGTCTAATGGTGTCATAGGTTCTCTATTCATTGACATAGGGCTTGTGACTTTGACAGGAGAGCCCATGTACTCTGCGACTACCGCGCTTTGGATCTCCGGGCTTGACTTAGTGGAAGAATAGTTCGAAGTTGCCGATCCCGAGCCAGAAGTATCTGAAGCAGCGTCTGGAGAGTCGGGCGTCGTTACATTTGCTCTTGAGCCGGTAAGCATCAGAGGAGTAGGTCTATGACTTGATCTACTAGGCAATGAAGGTGTCTTTGGTCCGTCCGAAAGTCCATTCAATGATTGACCGTCGACACTGTTTACTTCTGGTCCTTGCGATCGAGCTTTGTCAAGACCTTGTTCAAGCAATGCGCCTCTCGACGGAAAAGACTTGAGATCAAACGGTCCAGTAGAAGGCTTGGTGGAAGATTCAGCGACCGCGTTCTCAGACTTCTCAGACTCCACAGTCTCCACAGGAGTTTCCTGTGTCATATCAAAGTCGCTGTCAGCTCGCCGTCCGGTCTCATCGAAATGCGCACAAATATCCAGCGACGTATCCGAATCCAAAACCTCATCTCTGTGATCCTGCGTATAGTCCTTCTCTAGCCTTCCAACCCCAAATTCCTTGCTCATCGCCAGCTGTTCAGCCTTCACGACCCAAGCGCTGTATTCATTTTCCATGTTGTCCAAGCTGTCGACCCAGGCATCAGGTAAAGTGTCTGCGCTACCTTCTACAAGATCAAGCATTCTGTCCAGCCTTTGCCCCAGTTCCGCGATTTGGTCTTTCAGAACAGCTCGGATGTCTGAGAAAGCTTTCGGCGAGAAGTCCGATCTCCGCCTTGTGTGTTGGGCATCGTGAGCATCGATCGCGATCGACGCAGAAACCATCGACTCACGGCCGGCGTCTAAATCTGTCAGGAAGGACGGAACTTGTCGCAGGACTAGCAATCGTGTTGACCAAGTGTTCAGCAGCGTTTCCAACCGTGAGATAGTAGGCAGAGCCTGCACAATGGTGGCAGTGATGACTGTGGTAAAGTCGGCGAGGTGGTCATAATCTGTCGCAAGTGCAAGACTTTGCAGGGAGGATCGCCTCGAGCCGCCTTTGAAGTGGGTATTAAGCACGTAGTCTTTCAGATCCTCGATCTCCAATGCCTCCATATCATCTCTGATCATCCCAACACGCTCTTCGTACTCTTGAACCAGGTTCGGAGATAGAGTCCGTACAGTCTGCTTCTCGATGTTGCTTCCGTTTGATCTCATTGCCTCTGCGGACGAACTGCTATCGAGGTGACCCTCTAGGTGATATTGAGCTCTTCTCTTGGCCGGTTCCTCCAATGGTGGCTGATCAAAACCAGGCCATACCCATCCCTCAATCTCTGCATACCATTCCCGTACCTTCTTGCCAGCCAGCGCAGCCTTGATCCCCCATGCTCTTTCTGATATAGACGCAGATGCAACGCTTTCCTGGATGAAGCTCTTGCCGGCCTTGCCTTCTATTCGCACATGGTCACTAGCCTGTAGCGCTTCCAGCGTAGATGAAGGCGATAAATCGGAGAGCAAAGGATTCGACTCCTGTTGTGTGAAGTTTTTTCGCCGAGAGGGCGACCGTGATGGCGAACGTGATCCAGCAAGCCGGGGCCGAGTGGGGAATTGGTGAGCAGGACTCAAAGTGGTAAGATCCATTACTGGTCAGCCCATTGCTCTATTAAACACAGAAACTACCCAAGAAAGACAGAAATGCCAGCAAAGAACGACGGGAACTTGGTAACAAAACGTCAATGCGGTGCAAGTCTGGGGGAGAATATGCATGGGGAGATTTGTCGCGCGCTTAATGTTTAATTCGGCAAAAGCTCGGCCAATTGTGTCTTTTGTTAAGAGCGGTCACCGTGTCACGTCAACTCAGGCGATAACCTGAACGCGACTGTGCAGGCCAGAGCTGTACCGCTCTTGATCGCTTATGCGGCTCTCGCGGCTTTAAATTCGGTTGTATATTCATATGCCACGCTTGATGATCCTAATAGCCATCCGCAAGTTCTTCAGCTTCAGCATGACGCCTACAGTTCGATGAGCTCCGCTCAGTCTAAGTCAACTGTGGTGTTCGATACCAATAGCAATGACCAAAACCCTGTCACGGCGGTCTTGACCACAAGCTAGATTAGCTCGACCACGCAAGGAAGTCTATCCACGCAAGGAGGCATGTCCATTACAAGGTCAGTTGGTAATCAAATTCGCGTTCTGATCCATACAGCTCTGTCCTTTTTCCAACCGCCACTGCAGACTACGATGGGGTTGCTTCGGGTGATGTACTCTTCACGATTCCTTCCGAAGGAACGCCACTTTCACGGCTACCCGGTGTCAGCGCAACAGGTAGCACTTGTGAGCCAACGGCCACTATGGATGTACAGAAACGGGGTGCTGGGTTCGATTGGGCAGGACCAGTGCCGGATGCCAACGCATTGTGGCCAGCTGTAGAGCCAGGCGGCGAGCTACGGATGTTACGAACAGTCCTAGAAACGCAATTACCCCCGTTCGCGCTTGCCGGGAGAACGGCAATCCAATCAATAATAGACTTGAGGCAGCAGATCGCGAGCGTGGCACTGGATAGTGCAGGGATTGGTGCAGTGGCAGCGATACTATTCTTCATTGCCTTCAACTATCGCTATTGCATGAACGCGGCCGCCAACATATTCATTATGCCTCTCGAAGCTCTGGTAGGTCCGGGTACGACGCCGGAACAAGCATCTCAGACAAGCGACAGCTGTCCAGATGAGACACCGCAGCCAGTTTGTAGCAAGTGAGTACAGCCGCAGGGTCGTACTAGGGCCTTGCTTACTTCAAGACAGCTGTGGTGGTAATGCTGGTTCCTCTCTATGCTCCGGAGATCCGAGCAATGGTTGGCAATGGAAGGGTTGTCCTTGCGATGACCCACCGCAATTCCCTATGACCTAGATACCTCCTTTCTGCACCAGATATTAGCCAGCTGGAAAGGTATACCAACACTCGCAACAATCACACGCTACGACTGCAAAGGCTCATCGTACCGTGGGCCACTTATCAAAGATGAATGCGTCTCAGCCATCGCCAAATTTGACGACGCGTCCGTCTACAATGGGTACAACTCTCAGTGGAATCGCTGCTGCGGGCATCTCAAAGGGTGCATGGTGATGCACAAATGCAACAATGCGACCGCTCGTCCAGCTGAAGGCGAAACTGGTGCAGTGGTAAAGGATATGTTCGCCCAGCTGTGGGCGGGTCGTTGCGGGAAGTGCGGTAGTATGAACTGGAGGGACAAGGGCGTGAACTCGAAGTTGATGATGATCCCAGTTGAGCTGCCAGGGTTTCCCAACAAGTACTCCGTGGCCTTAGGCCTTCAGGCATGGCGGGTTGGCATCAGAATCTTACAATTAGGCTCCGGTGGTCAGGGATGAACATTCGTTAGCTGCGTTGAAGTCATGAAAAAATGCTGATAACATTATTAGGGGGAGAAGATCTGAGTGGTACAAACTCGAAGATGAGACGGTAGTTCAATATGCTAACGAGCAATTCTTCGTGTGGTTTTGCCACCTATGACTTGAGGTTGCTTGCATGAGTGAGGGCTTTTCTCCTCGTGACCACAACAGTAGTACCACACGTTAGTTTCCGACGCTTTCAAGGTTTCGCGCTAAATGACACTGGGGATACAAGCTGAATAATAATGCTTATGTACGAACTTTGCAATCACACGCAGGGCATACCTTTTGGGCCTGAACTCTGTCCTGAAGCACGTGAATAATCAGGAAGGCTAATCCATTGTCATGATACCAATAATCAGATTACTACCTAGGTACTTCCTTGTGTTGGTTTCTTCAACACCATACGGATGTTAATCATGGAATTGTTGTTCTCTCATGTTGGTTCGTTCAATATGTTGGGGTTGGCAAACATCAATCTTCGTGCGACGCCAATGGTCCATACAACGGCTCGTATAGCACCCACCAACAGTACGTGTCAAACGACGCTTGCGCCCTTCTTCGGGTACATTCTGCCTTCCCAGTCCAGTATTACCTACCTCTTCTCAGTCCCCGAGCGTTGGCTGAAACCGTAATCATATGAATTCATAGCTGCAACTGAGTTGACGTCTACACCACGGTGCGTCCAACGCAGCCATGCATCTTGGGATCGCCGCTCATTTCTTGTTCTTCGTTCATGATGTGTTCGCCAGTCCGCCAAAGATAGTTCCGGATCGAAAGGGGGATCCTCTGTCCAATAGTAGAAACACGGCGGGCGTCAGACAATTGGCTGCCAGAGGCCTGCTTCAAGTCGGACGCTTCTTCAAGTACCGTATCCCTTAAAGTAATCGGTGCCGGTTTTCACTTTCACGGCCAATAGCTCCCGCGAACGGCGTAGTACTAACAAAGTGTAAACCTTTGCGCTATGGCTGATCGGATGTAGGCTCGGAAGTGGGCTAAAGGCCTAGTGCGAGATTTCAAGTTGGCCTTGGAAACCGCCCAAGGGCCATCATGGAGACCTTGCAATAAAGTACCCTGTCGAGCCTAGGCGCTACAGTGGTCGGGCGCCGCCAACAGATCTGAATCCATACGGAGGTACAGATCCGTGATTTCGCTACGTCTCTCACTTTTGGAGTGCATCATGATCGTGACATCTAACGACTCTTATTACTGAGGACTCCCAATTTATCTACTGGTAACAATCACATACTGTTACTCAGCCACGCATGCCCACACCCCATTACGTTAACACGTGATCCCAGTATTGTCGGAGTGAGAAACGGCCTTAAGGCAAAGCGGGAGACAGGTAATAGCAGGGCCAGATGTAGGAGGCCTCATTATTGGTCAAAACATCACTGCTTCTAACCGATTTCATCTTGCTTATTAAGATTTTTCTTCGGTAAACGGTGATTGGACAAATGATAATCCTTACAATCTGGCCCCTGCTAGCGTGGCTCCACCCGGACTCAAGGAAGGGGTATAGCAGTTTTACTGATCCATGCTCATAGGAGGCTTATCTCAGCGCTGTTTACCCAATGCAAAGGGACTGAAGACGTGCTAAATAGTTGCTACCTATGCCCCCGTAGATAATTTCATTTCCCACAATTGGCATCGAGTAAGGTGGTGAATTTCATACAGCTGACGTATAAGGAGGTGGTGGCCCTTGAGGATATGGGTCTGACGCTTGATAAGTAGGTAGGGTTTGGTCCGCTTATGGTATTGACCGTCGGGAGAGCCGAAGTCATTTCGCGAGTCAAAAGGGAGCAGGTTCGCATAATTTCCAGTGCGAAGATCAGTATTAAAACCGGTATGATAGTTGAAGACGGCTAGATCGACGTGAAGAATTAACCTGTTAGCGTGATTGGAATGCTACTGTGCTGTTAAAATATAAATGCATACCTATAGCGATAAATGTATAGGGCACTAAGGGATGTGATCGTCAGTAAGTGAGGTTGTAATGTAATGTGCACACTTGATCTGGAGGCTTACAAGACCAGTCTTGCCACAGCAGGATCATTGTTGTTGGCCAAGTTGGCCAAGTAGGACCAATCTACAACGTGTCAGCGAGTCGGAGGAGCAACGCTCAGGGACATTTCGGGACTGACCACGGACCAAGCTGGGACCAACGCTGTATTCGCCTCTATCAGTGTTTTTTCGCAGGCCGCCGTTATAGGTGTGCATGAGCTGAGCAAGGCCTTCTTGTCAACAGATTGCTTTATAAAGCACGTGACTTTGTAAAGTCCGCATTTCGACTGATATTGACTTACCGCGTTTAAAAGTAGGATGTCCACCGCCCTCACGGATAAAAAGCTATCGGATTGAGTATACCGGTTAGGTAGGAGATAGCTAGTTCCGCCTGGCTCGCCATCTATCGAGGGTTAAAGGATTAAGAGAAATTTGTTTCCTCATGGTGTAGATTGTTGTTCTGGTATCCCACTTCTGGGGATCACTCGCCATCTCCTCCAGCCACCAAGGGCAGATAAACCAATAATTCACACCTCTTGTAACATCGTAGTGGGATATTATCATTGCTGAATCGACTGTGAAGGTTTCGTTGCATGGTGGTTTTCGTCCTCCGAAATTAGACTGTGATACTAAGCTACGGTCAGTCTACTTCCAGCGTAAGACTGGCGGATATTACCTTTATTGGACATGACATAACGACCATATTCGAATTTTTGGGCGACATTTTCGGCGTTGCAATATATAGCCTTTGATATATGTCAGTGGAAGTAGATGATGAGAGTAGTTATGCGAGCGATGATCGTGCTGCGATCTTTCCGCAAGTCCGACGGGAGTATTTACTAGGTTCTTCGCTGGCCGCATTGCACTTCCCCAGCGGCCAGGATCTGACCAGCTCATCCGCCCTGTAAAATCTGCGATCCCCGGAATCGTCTCATCGTAGCCGTACATTCGGATCTTTCCACCACCGAATACGGATCGGGCGTACTTGGAATCCCTTCCGAGTAAAGCTCTAGCAAAATTGGGCTTGCTCCTGGGACTGGGATTGACTGACAACCAGGTGCTTGTATTCTTCGCTATTGTCGTTGCACGCGCAAGAGCAGGCTCGAGGACCGCAAGATACCTTTGCGAACATGAGCCACTGTCCCCAAGTAAGCCTGTGTCAAAAGCCCAACTACTTGCGCCAGCGACAGGGTCGCAGAGTGCAAGGCTTGCAATGCATGTCAAAAAGGAATGAAGCTTCATGCCGTGCACTGAGAAAAGGATATCAGTAGTGAATTATCTATAAAGGAATATGTGGGTGGAGATCTCATCTTATAGTAGAAATTATCTTCGAATTGTTTTCGCGACTGCGTCACGGCTAATATTATTTTTAAGATGGTCTTAAACGCATCCTGCATGGCCAGAGCTTGAGGCTTTTCGAGCGCAGGTCCGCCTAGTCTGCGAATGTTGGTAAACTCGTACCGCAATTAAGGGCCCCTTCTGCAACCACATATTTTGGAAATAACCCCTAGATATTTCCACTAATTTTCAGCTTAGCGTCAAATATATATAGGGTATCGTTTTATAACCATATTTCTATATATTTTCGCTTATTAAGCGAAAACAGGCTCGGAAATATCTGAAAATAATTCTCGAGGGTTATTTTCAGCTAAAATAAGGCTAAGAACGTTAAGAATAGTAGACATCTATAATCGATATATATATATTATTCCCTTTTTCTTGCATAAATAACTTAGACTTTAAAAAAGTAGTTTTAAAAATTATTCTTACTATCTCTTTCGAGAAATAATATTATCTTTATAGTTTAATTTTAAATCATAGATAATAAAATATCGGTATCGATAGATACTATAAGAGTAGGCTTATTTAGAGTAATAATAAAAGTAATAGAAGTATTAATAATAGTTAAAGCCTATATAGTAATAGTAGCAGATATCTCGACTATAATAATATGAAATAATAGAAATATAATAGTTTTTTACGAAGAAGATAATTTTTATAACGATGAAATAGAGTTATAGAACGAAATCGTACATATATTCTACTTATTTTAAAAATATTCTAGCGTTATTTTTAAGTCTTATTTTTATTAGTTAAGTAATAACGTTATTTAGAATTAATTCGATAATTATATATTTTAGAAATAACCTCTACTTATTTTTACTAAATAACGTTATCTCTTAATAAATGAAAATATAACTCTAATTTATATTTAAAATATGTAAAATATATATACGATTTCGTTCGATAATTCTATTTCTAAGACTAAGTTAAAATCGTCGTAAAAAATTAAGAAAATTATCTTCTCTATTAGTAACTATTAAATTTCTATTATTTCACGTTATTATGGCGGAGACATCTACTACTATTACTATATAGACTTTAACTATTATTAATACTTCTATTATTCTCGTTATTATTATTAATATCTCTATTAATATCTCTATTAATATGATTAGAGTTAAAGTAACTTTAATATATATATATTAATTATAAACGTCTATTATTTTAGCGTACTTAGCCTTATTTTATTAAAAAATAAAACTCGAGACTTATTTTTAGATATTTTAAAAATATATTCTAAAAATATAATAATCGAATAATACTCTATATATATATAACGCTAAGTTAAAAATAAGTAGAGATTATTTTTAAAATATATAGTTATCGAACTAGTTCTTAGTAGAAATATATAGAGGTTATTTTTAAAATATATAGTTACAGAAGAGACCTTAATAGCCTAAAGAAATAACTGATAATTCGCTTTAGAATATATGACTAGAGAGGTTTCGCAACTCTTTTAAAATACTTTCTCCTTTCTTATTCGATATAATATTATCTAAAATAGATCTAGTTCTAGTTATAAAGTAAGTAATAGACTAGTTATAAAGTATACTTATCGAGATATTCTATAGTTCGTAGAATCGTCTTATAAGTATTTAGTGCGTTTAGTGTATTCATAAGAAGTATAGACCGTAGTCGCTAGAAAAATCAATACTATTAGTATACGCCTCAAATGTATAATCGAACATCTATCTTCCACGTGGGTTTTCCTTGAAAATATCTTCAAGAACACGCTGTCGCAAGTTCGGGTAATCAACGGATATATTGGTTTAAACATCGGCTACTATCTAATCGGGCTAGCGTTGAACCCTGACCCTCGTAATCCTGCGCAACTAAAATTGTAATTTAAGTTGCGAAACCTCTCTACTAATCCTCGAGGTTCTCATAGATTAGGTTCCCAGACCAACAGTATAACATAGGCAGGCAGAGCCCTATGTAACACCTTACGAAGTAACACTAGTAGGATAATGGAGTTAAGGAGCGAGGCGTTGATAACCAACACTCGAGTGGCTACCGAGTAGGAATGCTGTAGGGCTGTTCGTGTAATGTTGCTTTCTAGTACACGAAAACAGCTGTAGCGTCCGAATAACGATATTAACCAGTACCAACTGTGGTTGGAGGTATTCAGTTCGTATTAGGTTCGATTCCTAATGGCGCTGGTACAATAATGGTGTTGCGGTGCTTTTTATTTCTGGCAGCGCCATTAGCCACAGGCTTTAAAGTTCCATCGAGCGGTGTTGGCGAGGGCTTAGGTTCGAAACCCGTGCAACGCATTGATTTATAAAGCGAAATGTTTCCCGTTAGTCATAGTCTGGGGGCGGACACCTGTTGGTTGTGGTCGTGTGGTTGGAGGTATTTAGTTCGTATTAGGTTCGATTTCTAATGGCGCTGGTACAATGGTGTTGCGGTGCTTTTTATTTCTCCAACCACCCGGGTGACAGAAAAGCCTGGACACTAACCAAATGGAGATTACGGCCTTCCCCCACCAAATTTCTATGCACAAATACCATTTTTCTCCATTAATAGCCTATTATTCGTCCATCACCGTCTAGAATAGCCTGGATCCTTTCAGGGGCCCTTAAATTACATACTCATTTATGAACTAAGAGGAGGAAATTTGAGTGTGAAATTGTATATAGGACGGCCCTTGATCTCCTAGCTTAATTCAGGTTAATGTCTAGGCTTTTCTGTCACCCGGGTGCAAACGTCTGTCTTAGGTTTGAGGGAAACAAAGATTATTTATCGTGTATCCTGCTTGTGCTGGGGCTGTATTGAGTCCACCCCTAAATAAATACTCCACCATACAGATCGTATAACATGCAAATACTCCACCTTTTCGATAATGCTATGAGGCCATACCAACACTCCTTTCCCGTTATTGATACGAGCTGCGCCTCGTAGGTTGTATAATACAACTCCGGGATGCTAACTCTTTAGTAAGCGATCATTGTTCTAAGCTTACTTCCATTGTAAAGGACGTCAAAGGACATCTTCCTCGTTTCTTTGCCCTCTATAATCAAGCTGTGCTTTCCTTCATTGTAGCCATAGTCTGTCGAGTACTCCGGCTCCGGCTCAATGGCGTATCCTTTGCTTTTGATCATAGTATTTGGCTTTCTTGCAGCTAAGGTGAACTCGGACACTTACTCCAGCAATGTTTCGTCGAGAAGGGTGACAACTTCATCCAAGACCGGACATGTTTCTTCGGAGACGGCGACTGCCTCTACTGAAAGCCAAGCATTCAGGGCCACGAATTCGTCCTCCTACGCACTTTCTAAAGCGGCAGAATCTTCCGTTCCGGCGACGACTCCCTCTTCTCTGACTCCGATACCTACTTCTCAGGCGACGAGTGCCCCCTTTGACTTCATCAGTACTTCGAGTATCATTTCCAAAACCACTCGCAGCAGTAGTTTGAACATCACACCTGAGATCGATCTGGTTGTCACGTTAGTAACCTACCTGGAGCTATACAAGTGTCGCACATACTAAAAGTCATCCGAAATAGACCTCCAATCATCTTCCGTCCTGAGGGAGACGGCACATACACCATCGGGCTAACGCAATATGGTGCTACTACCCTGGCTCCCCTTTTCCTCGATCAGAGATGTGCAAATCTCCAGGGGCAGCGACACAAGAAGAGAAGCCTGGCGGACTGTAGCAGCACGGGATGTATTCTGACCAACGCTAAGTTAGCCATGAAAAGCGCATTTCAGGTGGAACGATGGGAGTCCAGCTGGCTTTATGTTGACAGTTCGCCGTTCGTTGTTCCACCTAGTCTCGAAGAGCCATTCCTGGAATTGGGAGATTACTTCAAGCAGCAGAACTACCAACAGTATTTTGAATACGGTTCTGGGGGTTATTTAAGCCAACAACAACAGATGAACAACACCATCTTCACCTTGCTCGCTCTAGAGCTTAGAACGCAAGAAAATCCTGGTGCTACGCTGACTCCTGAAACTGGAAAACTGCCTGATCTCTCCTGCGCCCCTGACCCGGTTACCACTGCATCGACAGCATCATCGACTGCTTCCGAAAAAAGCTGTCCTACTTTGGAGTTCACTTTCACCTCCCCTACATATGAGGTTATGACCATGGTGTGTACACCCTTTGCACTTCTAGCAGCGACGGACTGATGCGGGCATAGGCTATCAATGGCAATGATAAAAGGTGTTATCCAACAGCTGGACCGGAAGCCACCATAGCGCCAGGATATTGTGATCCGGTGAGTGGAGAGAAACAGACCAATCACAGGTAAACTAACCACCTAATTTATCCCAGAAAGGACCGTTGGCAGGGTGTCCCCAGTCGGGATGGACGCCGGATTCAGCAGTGGATTACGTTAATAATCCTAAAATTTGGGAACAAGAGTTCGCTGTGCTTTGGTCTATATTTGCGCAAATGGAGAACCCCAGCAAGACGCAGAGCGCAGCTCCCGGCCCCACCACCTCTCAACCTCCGAACCAAGGCATCCTTATTGCTTACGCAGTCCAGTCTTCCGGACGACAGTCTACCTAATTATCAGGCCACTTCTTTCGATCCCAGCAAATCGACGATTGGGGATCCATGCACGAACAAGCCGGTTGGCTCGTCGAAGGCTATCACACTGAAAGTGATCAAAAACTACATCAACTTGCCTGCAAACATGGATATTACCTATAACAGTAAAGCTTACACTTTCAGTGCTAACAAATGGGACCTGGCTGGGGGATTATTACTCAAGAACTCGAGCGGCACCGTTGTCTCGAAGTGCAAAAGGCTTTCGTCATCGGAGCCGTCCCAACCCTGTGGGGCGACAGCGCAAATCATTGAGACGCCGTGGGCAACGTGTACATGGTACGACGGCGGAGGCCCGGCTGTGGTCTCCGCTACCGCGGTCGCTCAAGCAGGGCACGGTCTCGGTTGTAAAGAAGGACTCTATTCCGATAAACCCACTTGTGAGAACAATTGTGCTGGTGGTGAATGTACCTATGAATATAACCAGCTCGGTACTAGCTCGTCTGGCCAAACTGATTACCAGTGCACGAGTTGTTTGCAATAGCTAGCTTTAGTGTGTAGAGAACTCGAAGAACAGTGTTCTAATAAGGTGCTTCGGTGATAAGCACTGCTGGATTCCCTTTCATAAACATGACGAGAACAATTTCAGCGCTTGGGCGATCAGAATAGCACAAAAGCAAGATCTGGCCGGACAGCCAATAACGGCTCCGGGTACCCCCAATTTAATCCGTATTCAATCTACGTAATCTTAGCCGAGGGATCATCCGCTAAGAAGGCCAAGCTTCTTCTAGTCTCCCGGCTACAACAGCCTTCCTTGCCTCCACACCAAGCCTTTGCCGAAAGCGCCGTGGCACCGCGATATCCTCTTTGACAGCAAGACAGAGAATACTTTGTGTCAATAGTGAAGCCTGATTATTGTAGCTCAAGTCATTCAATGTGCCGTGTTACTTTAGCAATGGGACGACGTGGCCACCAACTTCTGAACCGCCAAGTCCAAACTGTGCGAGAAGTTTGGAGGGCAGTAATGTTTGTTAGACCGCGTGTATCCATGATGATGTAAAGATGACTTTTGGCAATCGGTACCGGCGCAGCGTACCTAAACCTAAAAGTAGGACTGAAGGTGGCATTGGTGAATCGGTGCTATAGACTCGTTGCTGCCACAGGTGGATTGGTCCTTAAGGGCTGTGTCACGAGCTCAAGGAGACAGAATCCTCTTCCTGCGCAAAGCAGCGATCATGGCGGATAATATCGGGCCGGCGCCGGGGTGGGACATCTGATAGACCTGCTTAGAAGGTCGATATAAGATATGAGCGGAAAAGAAGGTCATTGATCCAGTTGATACAAATGTTCTTGACATTAGAATGTGATATTCACAAGAGGCAGCTAAAACAAGTCCTCTTTTTCATAGGTTCACTTGAAGACGACGCGGTCGCAGGTAAGGCGCTGAAACAATGTTTTGCTAAACGACAGTCTCTCGAATCTCGATATCGGTATACACGCGACCGCCTTGAGCGTAAGTCGGCAGAATCCAGCATTACATCATGCTCAGCGGCCCCTTCTCTCCGTTGAGGAGACTTAGAAGCCATGTTCAACATGATATCCACCAACGGTCTTAATCTCGGGTGGTGCGAATGTTTACTCTTCCTCACCCCACTCATGTCTCCCACCCCTGCTGCACTCATGTTTCAGGGAAGCGCGCTTCCCCCAGTGACCACCGCAGGTGTCACTAAAGACTCATCCCCATTAGAAGCCGTTGTTTCAAATACCTCTATCTTCTGTGTCCCACCTGCAGAAAATCCAGATTGGGGATGTCCAATCCGCGCCACAGATTGTGCAGCCGCTCTATCTAGGATGACGAACGAAGTTTGTCACTATGGAGGCCAGTCCTTTATGTTTTGGTCAAGAATGTTCAGGAATTACGCCCCACTCTACATTCCATGGATGTAATCCTACGGCAAGACAACGGGTAAGTGCACACATGCTTTGGACGCGAAGTTTGTCACAGACTCTAGTGGGTGCTTGGTGCAAAATCCGAAGGTATGTCACTCAAGCTCCACATGCAAAAGTATTACATGCACAAAGAGCAGACGTTAGTCTGATAAATAGTCTCATCGATACCAAGTCTTTTGTTCTCCATTATTCACTCACGCTTCATTTCAATGTCTATCCATTCTTCTTAACTCATGCCATGCCCAACCCGTGCAAGCACAAAAGCCGCATTTACTTCCGCGGATGAAAAGCCAAGCGCAAACCCTTCTCATCAAAGCTATAGGAACCCGTACCTAACGTTGGCTCTAGCAGCTTTTTCTGATGGTGAACCGCCCCGTTAATGCGTGCCCAAATCCGATACTCTTGGGTTTCATCGATCGTGTCAGGCCATGGCTCTCCCCACCACTCGAGGTCGAGCTCCAGGATCACTCTCTCGAATCCAGTAAGATTGTCCAAAGCGCGGACGACCTGAAAGGCATCCATTTCGCCGCAGAAGGGGTCACACACAACCGTCACAACGCAATCCTTCCGCTGGATATTTGACCCGTCAAACATGTGTAAGATGGGCAGATCCTCGTCAACGCCGTCAATGAAAAAACCTCGCCCATTGACTCGGAGGATGAGGTTTTTGATGTTCTTGGCTAAAGATTGGCTGAGCGGAGGGTTGATGATATCGTCTCCGAATCCGATGACCAAGCGATAGATGCCGTTCTGGAAGATGAGCTCGCTGGCTTCCTTGTGCGTCTGCTTGGAGGCTCGCACAATCGCTGTCTGGCCACCGACAATGGCGTAGCCATATATCAAGTCTCTCAGCTCTCGGGGGATTTTCAAGAGATTGCCAAGACCTTCAGTGACTTGCACGGCTCCAGGCTTAAGCACGTACTTTTCCGCGGTGATTTGGTCTTTCAATGTTCCGATTATCCAATCACGATCGAGAACGACAGGTTCTTCTGCCGTGGTCTGCAGGGTCTCAGCTTGGTCCAGAACATTGTCGAGCAAGGCGTGAAGCTCTTCCTTAAAGAGTTTGAACTCGAGGATCGTTTGAGGGGAGATTGGGAATTCCATTGATGTAGACACTGGCTCGTTTCTCGAAAGTCTGAAACTGGTCTTGGTGCAGGAGCGTCTGGTGATGTGGGGGATGATGACTTGGAAGTGTATAAAAGATTTCCGCAAGCTGAGCTTATATAGTATCCGGGCAAGTAGGTGTGTCATGATATATAGGTGTATCAAACTCTGAACAAAGAGGTTGAGAAAATGCGTGTTAACAGAGGGGCGCTACCTGACCGTAGATTGTAGTTCGGTACAAAGAGAAGTACATTGTGGGGGACCCTGGAGGTGAATATATATATATAGCGTAGTGAGGAGGTTTCAAAAGGCAGTATGGGAGAATAGTGCAATTGATTTTGGCCGTTGGGCATGCGACGCTGAGGTTTCCTACCTGGGAAGACGGTACTTATGGCGGAAAAACAGACATCTTCATTAGGCAGCCACAAACACAAAGGAAAACAAACGGACAAAGAAAAAGGCATCACTCATTTCTTAGCGAATCTGCAAGACGGATGGGACGAAAAGATTGACGGGCCTCAAACAACTACAGTGCAAGGTATCATAGGTGCCTCACTAAGTTCAATTTATCTTAAGTACCCCTGCCACAAATTGAACAGGATCTTACTTAGACGGGGATTAAAAGCGTTCTTGCGAGGTTGTCTCGTTTGCAGGGAAACACTGCTGGATTTGCGGTCAATGTCTGTGGGTGTGTCCTCGCTAGCCCTGTGCAACATGCACTGCATTGAATACTTTGGGGATCAATTGCTCGCATTCGAAACCTTCGTCTTTGGGTACACCTGCAATTTATTAGATTCAGTGAGATTGGGACTAACACTGAAACTCCATATCGCTGCAAAAGTAATGCCCTCTTTCGATCTCTTCGTCGGCACATCCACGTCTCTTCAGCCATCACCCCAGACCCCTTGGTCCTGTCTGAAGAGCTGAATGCTCAAGTCCCGCGATGCCTTCGCTTGCAGGATATCATCCTCGCACTCAGCACGGTAGTCGTTGAGCAAATGCGCGCTTGTTTGGGTTAGGACCCACCCCTTGGCAAAGCGTTCGTCAACCCTGGCTATCTCCTTTCGGAGGTCGTCTGCCATGGTTTCGTATTCCGCGTCAATGTCGGCCTCCTTTTGACGGAAACATCGAAGGCAAAAGGCTGGAGCTGTGATTTTGATTTCGTGAATTGTAATGAGATCGTGGCAGGGGGTGCCGTTGGAAGAATTGCACACCTGGACAACGTGAAATTTCTTAATGTGTTTGCACCCTTCGTGGACGTAGTCGATTCCTCGGCACATCTTGAATGGTGACTTGGAGGCTGGAACTGGATCTCGTTGGGGTTTCCGGTCGGTTTGGAGGATTCTAGACTGAGGGTGGATGCTGGCAAGTAGTAGTGATTTGGACTGGGGATGTGTAGATTATTGACAGTTGGCTAATTAGTTAGATGATATACGTGTTAAAACTGTTGGCCTTGCTAATGTTTCAAAGAAAAATGGGTGTTATCGGACGATTTTGCTCAATGCAACACTTTCTGCCTTTGTCAACAACACACTACATTCTCTTCAGACATGCGAATGTGCCTGGAGTTCTCTTTCGTTTTCAACCGCTCGTCATCATCGCAGACACAATCAGCGAATCAAAGCCTCGATCCACCACAAGCCTCTCGATATCCACACAGTGTGGCCTGAGCAGCAAGTCAACATGGGGTTGAACCCGGCACAAGGAACTATCACAACGGAACATCTCGAAAAGTCTCCAGATCTCACTAAACCCACTGTCATGGACATACAGAAGATGAACAAAAATGTTCCGTTGCTCTACGGGCTGCCAACGGAGCTCCGATTCATGATCTTCAGAGACTGCATCGCTTCTGGCTATCCTCAGTTCATGAAAGCGTCCCGGGCACTGCGAAATGATGGGCAAACGTTGATCTGCAAAGAGGGAATTTATCGGATGCGTTTCGGAGCTGGGGACGACAACAATGGCCAGCGCCCGACTCATGACGTTGCGAAGGCAATTCGAAATCTCGACATCACAATCGATCTGAGGAGGGTCATTGGTCTGGATCCGATTCTGATCCGCTCCGTGCCGTTCGCAGGTTCACAGATTCTCCGTGGGCATTGCAAAGTCGTTCTCCGTGTAAAATGTACTATGGATGTCTTGGTCAAGCTTGAATTAATCCCACTCGTGTCAAGCTTCGGGGGTTTTGAGAAAGTAGCCTTGTGGATCGAGATTGATGCAATGAAGGACCACAGCCTTTATCCGTGTTGTTGTGATGCTGGGTGGATGCTCGTGTTGTTTGAGTCACGGTTGGGGAAGGCAGAATTAGTCAAGGTAAAGGATGGCTTTTGTATGATATTCTACCCGAGAGGGCACGCAGAGGCAGCCGCAAGGAGATTGGAAGGATAGCCATTACTCTGGGTATAGGGGCTGGAAATATCAGGTTTCTGTTTTCAGAAAGTGTCGATATGACAACACATCCCAATTCTTCCTTCATGAACTGGCTTTAATTATCATCCGTCTACCATCACATACTTTCAGCACCAACATCAGATCGTGGACAATATACAAAACTTCGGCATCAGACTCAACACGAAAGGCCACTCTTCGTCGAAAAGTCGAAGGGATATCCGAAGGCCTTTCCATACCTTGATATATTTACCAGTTCCCTTGTTCCACGTGGAATCTGCAACATCGTATTCGAAGGCATTCCTTACATTGGCTCAGTAATGCTTTGATGTATGGTTCATTCTCTAAGGAGGCTCACCGAATTCAACACCGTGGTCTGTCGAATCAAGGCGCTGCGGTTCAGGGGCACTCAATGAAATGTTTGTCCGAGTATCCCGTGAGGTTCAGAGATAGGACTTTCGCTGTAGCGCAAGAGCATCTGGAGCCGCATCTAGGGAAAGGCGACATCGAATCGGTAATGGATGGGCAACGTCTGGGATTCCATCCACGAAATGCGGAGGAGTGAATGCGACGTGGTTAGTGTGAATCTTGATAGAGAGTGCTTCGACCATTGATCGAGGTCAACTTGTAGACCTCTGGCTTGTAAAACATATCTATCTGAGTGTGAGAAGAGCGTGTAGGTCGCTTTAGTGACATAGCTTTCACATTAGTAGACGGTGAGGCAAGGAAGATGACAAAATTGACACCAAAAGTCCCATTCCAATGATTTACTCGTCCACTGTTGTAGAACTGATGCTTCCTTCATTGAAGACTGGCGACTGTGATCAAATATAGACTTTGATGCAAGCATCACTAGGCTGGCGATTCATGAATCATTGATGACAGTGTAGCTTCTGATCAAGATTGAGTGGTTAAACTCTTAGCTAAAAATTTCCTCTGACCTTGATGAAAAGGGACAGTGACTGATTGTAGATTGTCCCACAATTTACTCCGTATGGTCTCCCCATAGTACCCCTGTGTTGCTTGGGACTTCACATTGATTCATTGAGTGCCGGAGATTAATCTATTGCTGTCAGTCGTGAGCCACAGAACTGGTTGAAATCTAGAATCGACTCAATTTACTTCGCATCTGCAGTCCGCTTTCTAGTCGTTGTACTGTTTTTGAGCGTGTTTTGATAGTGCAGAGCTTTTTCTGGTGGCTGATTGGATTTAGGGGATACACCCGTCTATCAGACAGTCGACTAGCAAGCGATAAGTGCTCAGTTATGGCGACGTGTGGACTAGCACCAAGGGACTACCTCCGCGTTTTTTTGTTATGTGGACACTCAACACTTACGACTAGTGGTCGCTAACACAGAGTTTCTTACCTATAAAATCAGATCAACCAGCTCGATCCTTCTTCCTTCTACCTACCTCCGCTACCTACGTCCCATACAGCACAAACGTAGCGGAAACCCTCGAGTCAGTCAATTTCAGATCACTCGAACTAAATCCTACTTTCACAGGTTCAGCCCACCGCCAGCATGAACCCCATCAAGTTTCCCGGATCTAAGACGATTGATTCCTTCAAGGGAGAGCTAAACCTTTTAATCACCAACATTATTGCGAAATTCAAGACTCACACAAAATTGGAGATTTGGTAGTGGTCAGTCGCGAGGACATTCTCCATTACCTAGGACAGCAAATGATAACAGAAACATCTTTGCTGGAGCCGGATACCATCGACTTCGCTGCCGGGCTCGGCCCAATGTTTCTCAAACTGCCCCGGGAGATACGCGATATAATCTTTGGGCGACTGCTTGCTTCCGGCCACACGGAGTTTCTGAGAGCCTCCAAGATCTTGAGCAAGGAAGGAACGAGCCTGATATCCAAGCATGGCATTTATCGCATCAACATCGCCTTTGGCAGCAAAGCCAACTGCCCCAAGGTCTCCCAGCCAGTGGCGGATACGGTCCAGAACCTGCACCTTCGTGTGAACACGAGGGATTATCCATTCTTTGGTCTCGGCACATTCCCGGAGAAGAGAATTGTGGAGATGTTCGGCAACCGATACCTCTGTCGCAAGTCTTGCAGCGTATCTTTGGAGATTCGCTATTCCACTGAGTCTATGATTCCGCTCGACGTGCTTAACTTCTTGGGAACGGTTGGGGAATTTGAGGACGTGACTTTGAGTATCGAAACCGACTGGTTCGGCGGAAGCCCTTTCCCAGATCGCCTGTTCGAATGGCAGATGCGTTTGATGGATACAGCTAGACATGAGAGCTTCGACGACGCCCGTGAGTGTTTAGAGCCGGTCTTGGGCACTGCATATCGGGTAGAGCAGAATGAGGGTGTTCAGTTGGTCTTCCATCCACACTATTCGGGTCAGGGCAAGGTGAGGGTATCTCGGGCGAAAAGAGATGCATGTGGGAAGAGTGGAAGGAGAAAGAGAGTTGGGTTGCCATGAACTGTAACAAGGTTGCCTTGGATGCAGACCCGAGCTCACACCTAGGGTTCCTGTCAGTCAGAGTGCCTTAGCAAACCAAATCCATTCACTGAATCGATCCCAATAGTTGCTTGATACCAAGTTTTCAATAATTAGAGCGCCAGTGGCGGCGATGCAGTTTCCCGTAAAACGTCAAGGGAGTTGCCTGAGTATTCTGTTGCAGCCGTTAATGAGACAAGGGTATTGTCTCATTGAGTGCCTTGCTATTCTGTTGCAGCCGTTAATGAGATAAGGGTATTGTCTTATTGAGTGCCTTGCTAGACACGGTAGTAGTCAGATTCGTTCAATGGCCGGATAGCCTCCCACAATGGCAGAATCTTTAGTCTCACGCATCGTAATGTTCTCATCGTATCTCAGTACCTGATTTCTGCAAAGTGTGGGTGCTTTGAGGACATGGAAGCGTGTGAAAAGCCAACTGATTACTATGCTAGTAAGTATATCGCTGAGCAATCACAGTGAACCAGAGAATCTACCTGGATCCATATCAGCATTTTGCAATCGGATTCGACCTTCATTTATGGTCCAATCCGCCTCATCGGTTGCGGACAATCAAATCTCTTATCGCTCAGCCGGCTCAAGCTCAAGACCGTCCTCAAGCGTCGTACACACTCGGCCAGAGTCTAAGACGATGCTCATCGACACTCTTGTTGGACTCAGCGGGTCCAAGCGTCACTGCGAAAAACTCGGATATCCTCTCATAATGCCCCAGAGAGATGCTATGCGGTAGACCGTTCTCATACTTCACCGAGTCACGTCTAAGCCCCGTCAGTAGGTGAGGATCGTGGTTCTGTTGCTCGAGCTTCAGCGTCAAGATTTTAAATTTGATCAAATCTTCCATCACCTGGTAGATTCTGTTCTCATCCAATCGGGGTGGGAGATCCTCGGAAACGGGGAGTTTGATAACGATTTTGCACGACTTTTGTATAATTCTGTCGCCACCAAACAATTCGATGAGCTTCATGTTTATGGAAAAACCCTTGAGAATGGACCATGTTGAGGCGCAGGTCGAGGTGTTGGATGTAGTCTGGAGGGGTCAGGGTGAAAAGGCCACACAACGTGACACTACCCGTGAGAGCGAGGGTCACTCGACTTAGCATAGTGGGACATGGTTCGTTGACTCGAAGGATCGCGACTTCGGAGAGAAGCGGAAATGCCTCCTGATTGACGAGCTTGGAGATTCTCAAGATGCCGAGATCTCCAGCTTCGATGAGATGTTCGTAGATCATCAAACGGAGTTCAACGAGCATTTCAAGGAGGGGAAATGTTTTCTGCAGTGAAATTCAGCGGATTCTGGGGTCTTTTTGCTGAGGGACGATCATTGTTAGATCTGGAGCAATCCCGTTGCCAAACACGCTATGTACTGGGGAAGCATATCGGGGTGTTGCTGTCCAGTTCTTGCCCAGTGCTTCGATTATCTTTTTCTAATTATTTTTTTGGGGGTTTGGGGAAGGGAAAAGAGAGAAGAGAGGGAAGAAGGAAAGAAAAAAAGGAGAAAGGGGTGGGGGTGGGTTTGGTTTTTTTTTTTTTTGTTTTTTGGTTGTTGTTTTTTTTTTTTTTTTTTTTTTTTTTTTTTTTTTATTTTTTTTTTTTTATTTGGGGGAGGGGAGGGGATGTGTTTTTTTTTTTTTTTTTTTTTTTTTTTTTTTTTTTTTTTTTTTTTTTTTTTTTTTTTTTTTTTTTTTTTTTTTTTTTTTTTTTTTTTTTTTTTTTTTTTTATTTATTTAAAATTATTTTTTTTTTAAAAAAAATAAAAAAAAATTAAATAAAATAAAAATAATTTTTTTTATATTTTATATTTTAAAATTTTTTTTTTTTTATTTTTTTTAAAAAAAAATTAAAAAATAATATTCCCCTATTTTAAAATTAAAAAAAAATTTTTAACCGCAAAAAAAAGGTAAAAAAAATTTTAAAAACAAAAAAGCTAAAAGAGCTATTAAGACTAAAATATCTCCCCCTTATAAGAAGATTCTCATATACGAAATGTTATCGAGTATTATAAGCCCGAACTAGATCGATAAAACGCCCTTATTTACTATTAAAGTAGATCTTTAAGAACTAATAGCTTAGCTATCTAAAATTTAAGAGAAGCGAAATTAACGCTATTATTACGAGAGTCGAATATATAAGCTATATCGCTATTACTACCGCTATAGTCGTAGTTATTATTATTATTACTTAAATATATCAAATTTAGATTTATTTAACTTTAAATCGAATTAAGAGAAAAGAAGAGAGGTATTTTTTCGTTATTAAAAAGATAAAAACCCTTTTTTTAGTATTGCTAAAAGATTTCGAAGTATAAATATTAAATACTTTAAGTACATCTGCAAATCTGAAAAGTTTCTACTAAATTTCAAATTGCTGATCTTGCGAATAGGGCTGAAATTAAGAATTCCGCCGATTCAGCAACTATCTCAAAAATCAGCCAAAATTCTATCGGTTTTATTGGAATTGTTGAAATTCTTGGCCCCCAAGCTTCCCAGCCTTCCCAGCCACCTTATTAAATCAGCCACCTAAATTTATCCTATATATAGAATCTCGTCTCAGAGTGCTTCTGGAGTAATCAATTTATTCTTCTTGAATATTTCAATAGGTTATAAGCCCGGTTCCGACGCTTTTATAACGCTACTATATATATTATCGTTATTATATATTATATACCTTTATAAACCCTAGCTCTAATCTCTATTAATTTCAAATACCTATTATATTAGTATTAGCATCAGCACTAGCATTAATTATAGCCTAACGAGTTACCTTAAATCTATTCTTTAAGTTATCTATTCGTTAACTTACTAAGATAAACTACTTAAAGTAGCTTATTAACGTACGTGTCTTATTACGTAAATAAAAGTTATAGAAGTATACTTAAGAGACCCCTTTCGAAATATTAATCGTTACAGCCTTAGCTAAATAAAGAGGATTTTTCTAAAGAGATTATTAATACGATAATATTTACTATTAGTAGCTCTATTAAGTAATGACTTATAGCTAATAAATTTAATTATAACTTTAAAATAATATCTTATCTCGCGGATCTCTATCGTTCTATCGGGGATAACGAATTTATACGTTTTATCGTATAATACTATACTATTAAATATAACAAATTCGACTTCGTAATCGACTATATCACTTATATTAAGTTACTCGAAGAGCGTATTATAGCTATTAACGTCAAACTTACACCCGATAAATAAACGATTCTTTATCTATCGATATTCTCTTCTCAATTATCTCTAATACTTAATTAAAATCTAGGCTATTACCTTCGATATAACGGCTTATAAAACGATAAATATACTTCTAAAAGAGAAGAGAAAGGGGAAAAGCTAAAGCTTACGAAGGCGGAGGAGATAGTTAATATATTTATAAATACGGGGGTTATAAGTGAGAGTGATAATTAAAAAAGTTATAAGATGTATAGCAAGATATATAGACTAGTGTGTTATATCGAGTATCCGAAATTGACTTTAGAGTGATATCACGAGATGACAAGAGGTACAAAGCGGAAGTGTATCGAGAACGAGGCCACTGTAGCGATTACGTTTTCTTTTTAAACACTAGACGATGTGGAGCCTGGAGGCTTATAAACACTAGACGATGTGAATATCAGAACGGTGTAGAGCCTGGAGGGCTTGCGAACATCAGACGGTGTGAACACCAGGACGGTGTGGGGCCTGGAGGGCCTGTGACGCTGCAGGGGCGATGAGATGTTTGTATAGTTACATATTTTTTGTTGATGGGCTGGTACGCTTGGCTGCAGGGGCGTATTGGAATTGTTGGAATTCTTGGCCCCCAAGCTTCCCAGCCTTCCCAGCCACCTTGTTGGACCAGCCACCTAAATTTGTCCTGTATATATAGAACCCCGTCCCAGAGTGCTTCTGAAGTAATCAATCCATCCTTCTTGAATATTTCAACAGATTTAGTAATTATCTTAAAAATTAGTCAAAATTCCGCCGGTTTAATAACTATCTTAATCTTTTTCGCTAGTTCTATTAGTTTAATAGTAATACGTACGAAAAAAGAAAAGTTCTAATAATCGACGTTACGACGGTAAGATTCTACGGCGATAAGTATTAACGTTAACTTAAATTTAACTACGAAATTAGACGATTTAATAAAATTAGTCGCGTAGATAATACTTTAATATAGCGTATAATAATACGTATATTATTAATGATATATATTAATATTATATATATATAGAATAATACTTAGAGTATATTAAAGTATATTACGCAAAATTTTTAAAGTTACTAAAAATTTTTAAAGTTACTAAATTAATAGAACTAGCGAAAAGAGTTAAGATAGTTACTAAATCGGTGAAAAGGATTAAATATAGATAAAGTCTACTAAATAGACTAAATCGTACTAAATCGTACTTATGGTGCGGACCCGACGGAAATCGTACGAAAAGAAACTTTTCAGATTTGTAGATGTAAATCTTCTTCGAGATCTTTAAGACTAAAAATTTCGCTAAATTAACTTATATATATACTATTTCGATTAAAAAGAATAAGAATATTAATAGCTATAATTATATAATATATTACTTTTATATATACTCGATAATCGCTAATTACTTTATATATATAAATATAAAAAAAGACTTAAATAAGGCTCTTTATATATCTACTATTCATCTATTATAACTATTTATTATCTATAGATTTAACTCTATTCTTACTTATTATCTTATCTTTATTATTATATATATTTAGAATAATTAAAATAATCTTAAGATCTAGAAAGTAAATAATTAGAGTTATAAAAATCTTCTTATATTTAAAAGAATTTATATAAGTAATAATAAGTTAAATACTAATATATCTAACTCTAATAAATTCATTATTATTAAAAAAATTAGAATTTATAAAATTTTTAATAAAGATTATTATTTTCGCGAGTGTTATATTTATTTATATATCTATATAATCTATTAATAAAACTATTTATTA